CTGGGCACTAGTCGGGCTTCTATTTGGTCCCGACTAGTGAAAGTGGGTTTTCTCGGGTACTCCCGTTTCCCCCCACATCTAATTCTCAGGCATCAAATCCACAGATCCCAGCCTTGGCACCTTGATCCACTGATCCTCGCCAGGCCCTGTAAAGGCCTGTTTGCATCATTTTGTTTCGATAACTTGTCATATTTGGCTGGCGACTTACTCCTTCTTCAAAGAACAACCGGTCTCTGTTTCTGCTCCGACTTGGACTTGCCTTCACTTCTGCCTACCTGCCTCTCCTTCATACGACCATCCAATGTATATATGCAGATATACATATATACAAATATTATTATTGTTATTCATTTTTTCTTTTTAGTTAATTAATTATCATTTGCCCATACGGCTCATTACTCCGGTAACCACTAAACGAAATGTAATCTATTACCACGAGCAGGGTGAAGGAGGATTGTTTAATCTTCGAGCACCCTTGATTAATAATTACTTCTTAGGAGATAATTACTTTCAAATCAAAATAACTGCCAGGCAAAAACCAAACCAACATTCAGTATAGCACCAATGTTTGTTTGAACTTATTACATTCACCTTATTCTGATTTACTAATGATAACTAAACATATATTTCTTTAGAAACACTCTTTTCTTTTCCTGTTCACCCTATCATGCTTAATCAATCTTGTTAGGCAGCTGTCTTTAAGTGCACCATGCAAGAGTCCAGAAATCACATATTCTACATTATAATGTTTAGTGCTAAGGTCAAATGAATGATTAAACTAACAGTTCTGAATGACCAGTACAAGTGTAACCAATACACATGGTACTCTCAGAGACTCAATGCTACATATGCCAAATAGGTCACTATTCTTAATATTCAATTTCTAGGGTCTAGTGTATATTTTTATATAAATAGTTCTGAAGTCCAACAGTTACTTAACTTTCTTAGAGTCAGAAAAATATGGTATTAATTTTTCATTCCTTAGCAACTTTGATTTTCATACATAGATAACATGAGTAAGCTCAATAAGAGAAAGTCTGAAATTAGATGAAAAATATCTAACATAAAAATCATCATGAAACTGAAAATGTAAATGACAGTTTAAATTTTCATTATAGAGGAACTCTATATTAAGTCTAATAAAGTAAACATGTATATAACTGCTAAAAGTGATACATGTACAAATGGTACATCAAAAACACGTATTTGACTAACTATCCAACTTACTTAAATGTACAAATTAATGCCAATAACACAAAGGTATTGTTACCTCTTACAGTAGACTTTTCCACTTTTGATGGAGCCTTCTGACATCGCCGATGATATTCTTTCAGTAAGTTAACTCCTTCTTGATTTACTCGATCCTGAAGAGAGACATCTCCAAACCTGATGATGATTAACAGAAATCTGTTATCAGATATTCAAAGCAGAAGACTTTTGGATTACAGTCGTAATAATGGCCGACAAAAACCTATGCTTTAAGTTCTTAAATCCTCAAAACAGACACACCATTCCTGAACTATTAATAATCACCTGAAATATTCAAGTTATTTAACCCTTTCTGGACCACAAAGGTGGCTAAAGCACTCCAATGATCTTTTATGTTTTTACAGTGAAAATAGTTAACCAAATAGCATTAAATGTTTCAAATAGTATCTAGATTAGGTGTGTGAAAAAGACAAAAATTTAAACAGTATATATATATATATCTTACTTTATTTTGTAAAGTTTTTGAAATCTTATTGTGAAAAATTGCTTTGAAAAAACAAAAAATACTTCTTTTCATCTTAGATATTTTTGTATCGAAGCAGTAAACTTCCCACTACGAATTATACATACAGCACAATTAACAAAGATGTATTGGTGAACAATGACTACCTTTAAAAATGGAACCATCATTATTTTCATAAGGATTATATTTTGATGACAATTTTCGATTGAGACATAATCTCGATTTTTATTTAATGCTTATATTTGTTTTATGTAAATAAACTTAATATATTAAGATAAAAAAACAGAATTTAAATAGTTTGCCATCACAAACCTAGCCTAAACACTAAACCTCAATATTCTTACTAGATGTCTCACCTTAGAAGACTATAATAAACATAAGATTGGGAACCATCAAAAACATAATAATTTATAGGTGCAATGTTTACAGTTACAACACTTGGAAATATGAGACAAATGAAAGTCTGTAACACTTTGACTTTTTTTATACATGAAATAATTAAATATGCATTACACTTACATGTCTTAGCTAAATATTTGTAGTGGAGTTGCAAGTGTGAATTGAAATGATCTGAGTGACCACTCAATACCACAGGCCAAAAACAACATAAATGAAGGTACTGATACTTTTTTTCCTTCATAACTATAGTAGTATCTGTTTTTTAGTGTATAATTTAATTTATTTTTCAGACATAAATAATTTTCAGTTGCTCATTATGACTGACCAAGTCCAGTATCACTTCCTCCATTTTGCTATAAAAAATCATTTTCTCTAAGAAATCTTTGAGGCATAAATATAATAAAACAAAAATCCAACAATATATTTAAAATAGACCCAACTTATAACAATGTTTCCTATCCACTCACTTTTCAGCAAGTGTGGCTTGTTCATTAATGCCAATATTCAGGAACACCGGTGTAAGAGAGAAGCGACAACCATGCTGTTTTCCTTTAGGTAACATTGACATCACAGATTCTGGTGCAGGAACAACAAGAGTTAGGAAGGCTCTGTAAAATAAATAGTTCATTGACAGCATGCTTATGAAGATAATATTCCAGGTGTAATTCATCTATAAAATACATAAAAATTTAAAACAAAAAATAACTCTCAGTATTCAGTGTCATGAAAAATCCACCATAGCACATGGGTAATTTTTAATTCTCTGTCACTTTTTTTTGTAACAGTTAAGTGTTTTCTAATACATTTTTACTACTACCTAAGAAAAAATGTTTATTTAGAGGTAAGAACATGGTAGCATGCTTTAAATGTTACTTAATATATTTTACAAATACTTCATAGGTATATACTAATGGTAACAATTTCTTACCTTTGATACCATACAGCTTCAGTATACATCAAACTTCATTGCTATGTCAATGACATAATTATTATGAACTTCAAAAACTGTCCATGGTTTGTGCTTTATAAGGTTAGATGTAGATTGCACTTTATTTGATTAATGATCAAGTACTCATTAACTATAATTATGCACAACATTTATGAAAAATACTAAGAATTCTTCATAATGATCTTAATCCCACCTAACTTGGGGTAGTTTTGTAAGCCAAGAATTTTTACACCTGGGTGGCTGGCCCAGATGGCAACCATACAGGACGAGCATGTTTGGTAACAGTGATTTGAACTAGCAGCTCTCATATTGGGAGTCAAGTGCCCTAACCGCAAGGCCAAACTAAGCCCATGAACAAAGAAGTATACCTATGATTAAATTACAACAGATATTCAAACTTATCAATACTAAAATATAAAAAAATTTAAAAGTAACAGAGCTCATACAATTAGGATTTATTACAAATATCATCTGCTAGGATTTACATACACCAGCAACAAAGTAGTTACAGTTAAGTTTGGATGCTTTGCTCTAAACATAATCTACAAGAATGTATATATGTCAATAAAAAAAGAAGATGCAATTGCCCTTGCTTGGTTATGCATATCAACAAAAAAGAAGATACAGTTACCCTTGCTTGGTTATATATATATATATAAAAAGAAGATAGTTACCCTTGCTTGGTTATATATATATATCAACAAAAAAGAAGATACAGTTACCCCTGCTTGGTTAAGAAATAAAATATAACTTGCTCTGGTAATGTTCCTTTTTTTGACATACAAGATTTTTCAGAACAAAAAAATGCTAGATATAAAAGGATTATCAGTTGTCAGCTATATGAATAAAATGTTTGTACTAATTGTAAGATTATATTTTGGCTGTGGAATTGTTTGAATAGTTATGCTACAAAGAGAAGAAATGAAAATATGATTTCAGATAAATTTTCTGTCAATTCTGGTTAACAGCAGAAATAAATCATTGCTTTTTATTAATTGACCTAAATTTAAGGTTACAAAGACAGGAGTACTAAAGAAACTAAGTAATTACTATATTTTAAATCTTTGTTTTTTAAATATTAAGAACTAAAATTAGGACAATGTATACTTAAATTGTCAGAGATTTTCAACATTCTTTTATCAGCAGCTACAAAAAAAAATTATCTGCAAGTACTCAGACAGTAACCAGAGTATACTGATCAAGTTAAATATAAGAACAGAAAGTGGGAAACCTAGACTGGTGAGGATTAACTAATTCAGATGTTATTTATATCATTATAAATATAATAATAATACCTTTCCTAAGTCCCTTTGAGGAATGAAAATCATATATCTTAGTGTCACCTTTCTAATAAACATTTTGTAAGTTTATAATCTCTGGTAAGCAGTATGTCAATGAATGCTGACTGGGTGTGAATTCATAAAGATAAGTCACCTGTACTAACTAATGTGGCTATGGTTTAAAACAAAACCTTTCACATAAATCCAGTTATCAAAAATTATAATTCTTAAAGTATTATGCTAACAGTTTATCAAAACACAGAAAGTTTATTTTATCCAAATGGTTCTATTGTAAGATATGGTTTTCAACGAAAAAATATAATTGTATTCTCTTACAAAAGTACCTGTTTCCCTCTATACGAGGCTGAGGTGTATTTTCACTATGACGAGCTGGTTCTAACCAGAACATTATCCTCCTCAAGTCCTCCACCCCTACCATCATATCTTCAAGCATTCCCATTTCATCACCATAGCAACTCAAGAGTCCAAGGAATTGTGCTAGCAGGCCAGCTGATATTAAATGATTAAGAAAGATAGGATCTGGCTGTTGGCACCATAAGACTGTCATTAAACCAGTTACTAAAGTGGTCAGCTACAGCAACAAACAAAAAATATTGGCATTGAAAATATTTTAATTGTGGTTTCAGTAGTTACTACAAAAACAAACATGATATCAGTAAAAACATATTAAACCTTGCTAAAATGGCCAGCTATAATAACAAAGACAACAGTATAAATATTATAAATCCGTCTGGCTTGTGTTTCCAGTTATAATAACAAAGACATTAGCAGTAATAACATCTTATATCTGGTTAGATTGGTATCTTCTAAAATAATTAAACCATTAGCAAAAGACATCTTAAATCTGTATAGTATGTTCAGCTATAATGACAAAATATTAGTGGCAAACACATCTATATATATCTGGTTAGAGAAGTAGCTAAAAAAAGATACTTCAGAAGTTGAACATCTGAAACTTCAACAGCTAAACTGGCAGCTAAAGCAACAAAGAAATTTACAGCAAGAACATTCCAAATGTAGGTCAAGTAGTAGTTAATGACAAAAATATTATCAACACATGTATGTTAAATATTACCATACAGTTGACTACAAAAACACTTTAAACCTAATTCGATGATATGGTTAGTGGTAGCAAATACACACAGAGAAACATTGTAATATTCTAATACAGCTAAATAAGGTTTACTTGAAACTTTCACAGAAAGAGAAACATCTTAAACTTCTTGAAACCATCAAGGATAGATAAACACAAAAAAGCACACAAGAGACATTTGACTACAGTAACAAACTGAAGAGCATTATCACTACATCTGCTCAGAGTAGTTAAGATGCAGTGGTATATACTGAAAAGTACTATCAATTTAACAAACCACATAAAGTCAACATTTCATAAGGGTAGTGAACTACAACTAAAGAATATATTCCGAACAAATGTTAGCATATGAAAATGACTGGTGAAGTATAAGGCAGTTTAGAGTATTAACTACAAATTAAAGTTTTTTTCATGTAAAAAATGTTTATTTATCATCAGATTATTAAAACTATAATCCTATTTGCCTTAAATGTTTTTGTCACACATAGTTCAACTTAAATTAGTTTTTCTGTATTATATAAAACTATAAAGTGTTTACAAGAAGACGTAATGTCAGATCAATTGGCACATTTAGCTAAATTTCACCTAATGTTATTACGTACTATACAACCAATTCTTAACAAAAAACGAATACACACTACTTTCAGCCATAGTGCTACAAATAAGGCATTTGCTTGCAGACTCATAACATGACTAAAAAGAAATATTAAAAAGACATAGAAAAACAAAAAGCCTTGCTCTAATATGTTAACAAATAAGATATTTATGTGTTTTACAAAATTATTTAGTTTCATAAATTGTATACAATAAAAATCACAGAAGTAGGCAATACACATTCTAGTGACTGTTATAGTGCTTCTAACAAGTACCTAACAAACATGAAGAGTACTTAGGCTATGATCATTGATAATTATTGCAAATTGTTTAAAAATGTGGATAAAAAAGAAATCAGTGACACTTCTACTTGTGAAAGTTACATGACTTATTAATTTATATTAATTGTCTGTATAAAATTTTTTTTCACAGTTTACATTAAATAGCAGTTCCAATATCTTGTGAATAATTCACATTAATTAATACCTTAAATGACAAAAACCCATATATCTGTTCGCTGTCCACTTTATGTAATACATAGCATGTTGCAGCTTTTAAAAACTTAAGAACTTAAATATCCAATGTATTAAAGTAATCTAGTAGTTTTGACAGGCATGCCTGAAATTGATAATTGCTTCCTTAATTTGAAATTAATACTATTAAGTTTAAAAACATTATCTTTAATAATTATAAAACTAGTTACACTCACTGCCTGTGAAAATACAACATCTCGCCTATATCTGATCATGTAGCTCATTGAAGCCCGGTGATGTGGTTCCTGCAACAGATGTTATATGTAAAAACCATTATTTATATGGAAGTAGGTAGATAAAAAGTAATATCTTACAAAAAAATTCAATAAAAGCTTTGTTATTCAGCATCTGCCAGATCTAAATGGTGCTGGATAGGTGAAAATATCAGTTATAAAAGCATTTCTGTTACAATATTTTACACAAAACATTTTAGCACATTGTAAAAAAAAACATAACATCAAGATGTAAGTAACATAAATAAATTAGGCACAATGTGAATCACTTTAAAGGCAGCAAACAACTGAAGCTTGCCTGTGGGAAACAATGTAAACAAAGCTACAGTAGCACCACTAAGAAGCAGCTTCGATTATTTTAAAGAAGCTTCAAGAATGTTCCAAGACATTCCAAATGGAATTGTAATGAATGTTGGTTCCTATAATGAGATTTTGAGATATTGAAATTTCTAATTACAATGTGGAGATGCTGGATAATAGAACTTTTACTGAATTACTAGTTTAATAATTAAAAAAATATATAACAGAAGTGGACCACATACTGAAAAAGGATCTCTATAAGAACCAAATTTCATAAATGATGAAATGTTTATTTTCTCTAAAAATGTACTGTTATGAAATAAAACTTCATTATAATAACTCTATCTACATTACAAAAAAAAATGAAAATACCTGTAACATCAACTAATTTTATTTGATCTGTGGAGATTGTTTTGGCTTGAATTTCATATAAAGCTACACAAGGGCTATCTGTGTTAATCGTCCCTAATTTAGTAGTGATAGAATAGATGGAAGGCAGCTAGTCAATACTGCCCACCACCATATTATAATGCTCCCATGGCTGAAAGTGTGAGCATGTTCAGTGACAGGGATTCAAACCCGAAACCTGCAAAATGCAAGTTGAGTGCTCTAGCCACTTGGCTATACCAGGCCATTCCATGGAAAACTGTTGGTATGAAAAGGATTTAACTAAGAAAACAAAGATCAGATGATTCTCATAATTGGTTGAATCCTTAGTAGGTTATAAGAGTTATATAATAACAATATTTTTTACCTATAGGAGAAAAACTTTCAAAGAGAGAACTGAAGATAAAATTTACAGTTAATATAAGCAATGGCATGTATGATATTGTTTCTGAGCATAGGAGTGGTATTGCCCAATGCTTTGTGTGTTTGTTGAATTTTGTGTAAAGCTACTCAATAGCTACTTGTGCTAGTCATCCCTCATTTTGAAGTGACAGACTAGAGGGAAGGTAGCTAGTCAACATCCACCACTGTCAACTCTTGTGGACTGAATAGAGATTTGACCATAATTTTTCTATAATGCACCCATGGCCCACAGTGCAGAGCATGATTTATTTTTTGCCTGTGACTGGTACAAACCACAGAGCCTCAGATCCACAGTCTGCCACATTAACCACTGGGTTGTCTAATGCTGTTCTACTTAAAGGAACAGATCAAGAATTAAAAGAAAGTGAAAATTTATTATCAACATAAACAAGTGAAGAAAATATCAACAAATCTCTATCTAGACTCTAACAACCAGCTTATTCTCAAGTGAGTTTTATTTAAAAGTTACTACATTATTTAAATTGTTCTACAAAGTTCTGATGGGAAAGGATCATATAGAGATGTTTATTGATATTTATATGGATCACAGGGTTCTAGAATTAGTGTAGGATTAAATTCAGGTGTTAACTGATATTGGTATGGATCACAAAGTTCAACTTTCAGAATAGGATTAAATACAGCTATTTACTGATATTTATATGGATCACACAGTTTTAATGTCAGGGTAGGATTAAATAATGGTGTTTATTGATAATTATATGGATCAAAAACTTCAACTTCCAGGGTAGGATTAAATACAGGTATTTACTGATATTTATATGGATCACAAGGCTCTACTTTCAGGGAAGGATTAAATAAAGGTGTTTACTGATATTTATATAGACCATTAGCATCTATTGTCTGAATAATATCTAAAGTACATTCAGTTCCATTTCTCATTCTCAGGTGAGTACTCAAAATACTAAATGCTTGAATTGTAGTGTTCTTTTATGAAAATACAATACTTTTATCCAGTAAAGCTTATATGTAAGCTAATGTAATTATTACTAATCATTTTAACATTAATAAGGAATATTTGTTATTGCTAGGATTGGTAAATGCGCATCAGGTATTTTGCCCAAATATGGCTTATGATCATGACCTGAAACCTTTTGCTACTTACTGGAAACTACAGAAAAATCTGTCATTTTGAAATGTGCTCTATGTAGCAAGGCCAAGGCTGTTGAAATATAGCACATGAACATTAGGACATGTGAGTGAGTCTCCTTTTACCACTACAGTACTTTTTAGTGTTTAATGGAGTTTCATCCTATTAAATCAATTTCAATACTTAGTCTCATTTTCACTCATTACTCAGTGTTAATCATAATTCCAAAATGATAAATGTAGGAAATAAAAATATCCATTAAACTGAACAGTGAGATCATTAAAGTCAACCACAGAATAGTTTTAAATTATTTTAATAATTAATTATTGTGTTAATATATTCAAGAGAATCAAATAAAAATTTATTAATATCATTCTTAATGAATAGTCTTACCAATATGAAAAAAACAACATGTAAATACAGTTATAAATGTCCACAAGCTTTTATTTCTTTGTAGATTTATATGTAGATGCATTAGTCTATGATGATATTCAAATATTTCATAGGTATCTTACAAGTACTCAAACAAATCTAATAAATGTGTAATGCAAGTGTGTATCAAATGGATTTTTAAAATTTAGAAACTGTTTTTTGAAAAATTATGTATTTTTTTTTTCCATATAAAGTAGCTGGTATAGAATACTTGTTTACAATTAGGCTAACATACTATCTACTTCTCATCTCAGTACAGCCGTCCAGAAAATGAAAAACTGAATCAATCAATCTTAAGCACTATCTCTTAGCAATTGAATGCTTTCTTATAAATTTGTTATACCTTTGCAGCAATAGCAAATTATTGTGTATACAAGGCAGTAGATATGTTTTAAAATTATTCATTTCCTCACTTTTTAAAAAAATATAAAATGAAATACCATTTTTTATTAGTAATAAAAAAAGTAGCAGGCAACACCACATATTATAAGTAATTGGTTGATGATGATGAAAAAAGAAAGAGACATGGAGAAAAATTAGAGAAGGTAAATCCCCATCTCACCTTCCCTGTGAATTATTTGAAGCAGCACTCAGAGATTGTCCCAACTATTTGGGGAAAAGAGAGCCTACCATATGTTCATGGATTTTGCTCTAACTACAAAACACTGTTTTCACATTATTTTATGTCAACAAGTTGGAGCAAGTTTGTTGACTCAAAAACTGATTACTAAAACACAGATTAGTGGCCAATATAAAGAGATAGATCAACTTCTAATGAATAATAAAAGAAAGAGGCTCAATTACAATTATTTTACTTACTCTGAGAAATTATACCAATCATTTATCTAACACTCTTTTTCACAGAAATTAATTTTTCTGATAACATTTCTCTAGTTCCTCTTTTTTCAGTAGTAATTTTCACAAAAAAATCTTCAAACAAGTTTTTATTAATAATAAGTATAGCAACAAGTAAATACTTCACAGTTATAATTAAAAACCATTACCTTAAGTGACAAAAATCCATATGTCAGCCGAGCCGTCCGCTGAAGGCAAAGCATAGCTTGTCGTAGCTTTCTAGCACTAGGAGAGAGCTCAGATATCCAATCTTGATTAGTTTTGTGTTGTTTTGACTGACAGATCATATTACTTGTATGTAAATCTGCCACCTCGTTGGTAGGTGACAAATTTCTAACAGCACTACCGTTTGCTGTTTCCAGTTCATTAGTTAATAGTTGTACTTTGCTTGCCATACACATTGTACTGGCCTTGATATTCAAGTGTGTTAGGTCCTAAAGAGAAAATAATTTAATAATTACATTGTTTCGAAGACAACTGTGTATTATAAACAGTTTAATTTTCAAATTAAAATGACAGGAAGCATTATGAAAAACAAATATGTTTTAGTGAAAAGCTGCACAATGGGCTATCTGCATTGTCTCCATTGTTGGAATTGAGAAACATAAAGCACCACGCTTAATGCTGAGCCACCGAGGAACATAAAAATGATAATGAGATCAAAGTTAGCTTTTTCCACATTACTAACACTAATAAAATTAATTTTTATCAAATCAAAAACTAAACTTTCCTCAAGAATCATTATTTTGATTACACTGAAACTTTGCAAAAAGTTAACAATTATCTAAGTTCCTCTTTGAAATATGTTACCCAATCTGAATAGAACCCTAATTTACCCTAAATATTCAACCCTTATCAGCTTCACTGCTAGACATCAAAATGTGCATCAGCTTCTTGACAGATATACTATTTCATAATATGAAGAATATAAATAATCATACCATACCTTATATCTTTAATTTCCATAATTATATTCAATTTGGAAATTTAGATTTTTATTTTCTTCAAAAATACCTGAAATAAATTAAAGTATTTAGCTTATTAACTTTATGATTCAAACTAAAGGTCAGCTGTACTAGCTTTCAAATCAGGCTAGAAATATTAATACTTGTATCATTGGCTGCCTGAATAGTTTGTATTTATTAGATGGTTGGGTCAATAAGATTTCCATTTTTCCCATGTCAATTTTTGTCAACCCTCAGAAACATTTAAATATTTATAGGGAGCTGTTACAACAATCCCTGATTTAACATAGCTTTCAATAAATTGGGATATAAAATATTTGTTCAATCTAAGTCTTTCAATGATAAACAAGTTATATAAAATTAGAAAGGACTAGGTGCCAACGTACCAAGGGTTCAAATTCTTCAAACATGCCAAGGGGTGAGGACAGCTCTTCTAATACAATATTATTCTTCTGAAGTGTGACATCTGCAACACCTCCTAACGGTAAACACAGACTGCGTCTTTTCAACTGATCACCCAACACTCCTTCCTTCTCTTTATATTCTGAAGTTTGTGCAGAGAGAGCTTTGGCACCCGTTTCTGACACACAGTTATTAATTTTACTACTTTCATTGTGGCATGATGCTAATTCTTGTTCAGTATCTTCATTTTGAATATTGTGATCTTGATTAGAAGATTCATTTACACCAGCACCATTAAAATATTTGTCTACACTATTGGGTAATGAATGCTGGCGTTGTAACTTTACACCCTTATCAGGAGGATCCTTACTGCTAATTCCACATATGTCTACTGACTGACCTAGATGTAACTGTGTATGTGATTGAGAGGAATTCTTTGTAAGCTGGGTAACATCAATAACTGGTTTGGCACTTTCCCACACTGCTATGGCCTCTTCTACCAGCATAGGGTTACACACATGGATTAGCTGTTTAGCCTATAAACATGACAAAAAATAAATAAAAATACATATGTATATATACTTTATTTCTACAAGAAAGTATGAACACTCTTACTTAATAACTTAATACGATGTAAAAACATGATATAATTCTCTTGATATGGTGATGATAGCCAAAATAACCCAACTATATATTTCTCTAGTATACAGGTAAAAGTGAATATTAAATGCTCTTAACAAGTTAAAAACATTGATCAGTTTGGTGAGAAAATTGACAAAAATTACAATATGAAATTAAAACTAAAAGCATCAATATCAGATCATATTTGATAGCAAGCCAAGAACTACCTGTACTAGTAAATAATCAAAACTCACTATCAATATGACAAGGATTTATCTGATCACTTTTGTCATATTTTTAAGGTTGCTTAAGTACACACGAATTCCAGTTTAAAAAAATCAAATTAATTTCTTTTTACTTCGATCACTCTTACTTTACAATTAATATGTAAATATTGAGAAACAGAATCTAATGGTTTCTCTTACCTATCTATAAGATGTTAACATTTTCCAACAATGGAAATGTATTGCTGACAGATGCTTACTTCTGCTCACATAATAGGTTTCCCAATTGAGTGCTGTCTTTTCTATATGCACAATTTTTGCCCACCACTAGCCTTGAAACTCCTATTTAAGATCACACATTTCTGTGTGATATTACTGAGCTTTCACATGCAAATGAGGATGCTACAACCCTTCACCAATAGGAGTGCAACACACCCTCCTAACACAACTGGCACCCTCTATACTACAGATAGCCTAGTTGCTTTGCACCAATGACAAACAACCAACCAATTATACTGACTGCTCAATCATCACTTCAAGATTAGACAAGAAAAGATTCACCATAATTGGGGAGGATGAGTGGGAAGTGTGAGAGGAGGTAATACATTTTTAGTGTTGGAAAATGTTAACTTCTGATACAATACCATTAAAGTGGTGATGAAACTGGTGCAAAAATTACCTAGATGCATTCCCTTTAGAAAATGCCTAAAGGGAACCCATGGAGTGCGATACCCTATACCTACGAAATGTACAGGGGCACACCTATGGCAGACCCACCTCATCTGGACCATGGTGCAATCTTCACCCATATTGAAGGTATGTGACAGCCTACACCAAAGAAATGTATAGAGGCACACTTGTGGAAAACCACACCTTGTCTGGACAAGGGTACACGCCAATATTGAAGATATGTTTTACTAATTTGGACAGAAAACAAGCACAATCTAGAATCTGATTCTGGATTATAGATGTGCCAAAGACGTATTGTCAGACGGTAAGTGGTGGGTCAATTCCAGTGCAAAACCAGGTGGCATTGGATATTTTTCATCCTCCATGGTAGGAGTAGGGTCCATACCACTTCACCTCAATCCCAGGAAGCAGAAGAGAAAAGCAATCTCCATTCTGCCAATCAAGGAAGTGCTCATGTATGCTGTTCCTGCATACATCCAACACAAGAACACCTAGGAACCTGATATTTGAGCAACAGTAAGATGGGAGAAAGCATACATGGTGGGTCAACTCCAGTTCAAAACCAGGAAGCATTGGGTATTTTCCTTCTGGTCTGTGGTAGGAGGAGGGTCTGTACCAACCACATGAGTGAGGGCTTATGTTGGCTGGTCCTGTGCCTATCCAAAATTAGACTGCCTGGGAATTGACATTCACGTAGTGGTAGGATGTGGAGAGCCAGGCAGAGGGGTGAACTGTACGTGGTGGATCATCTCTAGTCCAAAACCAGGCAGCATCGGGAATTTTTCATTCATTCCATGGTAGGAGTATGAGCTGCACTGTCTACACCAACAGAACACCACTGCCCTACCCTCAACTGAGTGGAATTTGTCACACTCAGGAGGAATACTTCATGGTTCACCACCCCAATGGCTAGGAACTGGTAAGTAGTAAGGGCTCCTGTACACCACTATAAAAAAAGGGGGTGAAAGCACATTGAGTAGCCTGGAGGAGCACAACACCTTATTACAGTGCAATGGATGACCATGAAAACCCTATATATAAAATTAGGCCAGTTCCAATTATTCAAGTAGGATTAGAGGGATGGGCAGCTATTCCAACACTGCTTTACTCATGATATTCCACGAGTGGGTACAGTCTGGATCAGGCCTTGTTTAGTAAATTATATACTGTGAGAATACCTCTAGCAATCTAGTGGAGCATTCCATCTCATCAGTGAGTGCCATATCAGACCTGAAAGGCCATACATAGTGCAGTTTTAGTTAAGTATACTCTGGTAGGCATAACTTGCCACTTAGTGGGATCCTGTAAAGTATAAGAGGGCCCTGTAAAGGTAAGAGAAAAAGGTCAGAGCCAGTAAAGTGTAGGAAGAATGGTGACAGAAGGAAGTTTGTAGCCCAATGAAATAGAAATGACCAGAAGATGAAAATAAAGTGTGACAAAAGTATGTGGGGGTTGCCCATGTGCCAGCCAGCACAATCTTCTCCAACAGACGACAGAAATGGGCAGCCAGGGAGAGAGTTAGGTGTTGGATTTGATGTGAGGTAACTTGGAAGAGATGACATGAATTGTCATCCAATGAAGCACAAGCTAAACAGATGAGTTGATGAAGCCATTTCATGAGATTAAGGTGTCAAAAAGAATGGAAAAGCATAGTAAGGAGTGGAGAGGAAAATACATGACAGTAATGGAGGAAACCTGAAAGTATTAGATAAAGCTGCTATGTAGCCAGTGATGGCCAACAGTGATAAACCTTGGTCAAAGAGTGATTTAAAATATTCAGAAAGAGGACAGACAAACAGAATGCGAAAGATGGAAGGCTACCCATAAAGAGAGTCCAAAATGTCTTGCAAAGGAATGGACGAATCTCATACGTGATGTCAGAATGACTACACTGTTGGATGGGGGACGGAGGAATGAGACTGAAGTAGTAGAGATCATGATATAGGTAGATGAAGAGGAAGAGAGGAATGGAGAAGGTTCAACAGAGGAAACCAGGATTCAGCTGGCCAATATGAAGCTATCAGGAGGACCCAGCATAGTACCTCAAATGAGGGTAAGCATGGAGAAAGAGGTTGGATCAGTCCAGACTGAAAGCATTGACAGCGAGAGCTGATAGACTGGACTGGGGACGACAAAAGGGAAAGTTTTGTGTTGAGATAAGTGGCAAACACATTTATATGTGTCCAGACAGGTCTTGAGAGATGATCCACAACAAGATTCAGAGCACCTGGAATATGACAAGCCATTAGTCCTACTTGTAAAGAATGGGCATGGAAAGGAAGGTCAAGAATGTGGAAGAGAGTGAAACCGAGTTCCCCCCTGGCAATTGATATAGAAAACAACTGTAGAGTTGTCTGTATGAATCATTACTAAACTTCCACAAACCCTCATAAGAAAATAATCCACTGCTCGACATACCACCAAAAGTTCTAAGAGATTGATATGAAGGGCTAATTCATTGTGGGACCACCTACCCAGAATCTCTTGAGAGTCAAGATAAACTCCATCTCATCCAGGAAATCTATAAACACGTTGAGACCTGGATGAAAGGAAGGAAGAGGAACTCCCTCCGTGATATTAGTTTTGTCAAGCCACAAGGTGAAGTCTTTAAGTAAGAAGGTGAATGGTGGAGGACAAATGATCCCAAGCAAGGTTCCATTGATCATGCAGAGTCCAATGTAGATTTTGCCTAGGAGTACAATCCAAGGGTATAAGGGATTGCATGGAAGCCCAAGTCCCAAACAGAGAGAGAACTTCTTGCACAGTGAACAAAGGAGAGGATATGGCATGGGAAATTAATCAGTCCATGTCCCTCAAATGAAGAGGAGAAGGATAGGGTCCTGTGAAGATGCAAATTGAAAAACATCCAAATGAATGAGATATTGAGTAGGTAAGAGATATGAGTTTTCAGTTTAACCAACCAACCAAGATATGCTTCCTCCCAAATGAGGAGAACAGTATGGCTGAAAGAGACTTGTTGGAATGCGAGATGGAGCCAAATGTGAAAAAAACATCTGAGATATCTACCTCAGTCATGCAAAGACCTGGAGCAAAAGATCACTGTAGGGTGAAAAAAGTCTTCACGGTAAAATGCAAGAGGTCAAGAAACCTATTAAGATGTGAAATATCTATGACCAGACACCAATCCTATTTTCTCGGGAACATTTGTTTGTTTGTTTTATTTTCACGCAAAACTATAATTTAGTAGTGTAAGATTAGAGGGAAGGAAGGATAGTCATCACCACCCACTGCCAACTCTTGGGCTACTCTTTTACCAACGAATAGTGAGATTGACCATCACATTATAATATCCCCATGGCTGAAAGGGCAAACCCATTTAGAGAAATGGGGATTTGAACCAGCAACTCTCAGATTGCGAGTCGAGCACCCTAACCACCTGGCCATGCCAGGCCTTCTCTGGAACAACAAAAAGACACAAATAAAATCCTAGAGAAGAGGATAAACCCATTCAATAGTGTCTTTGGCCAAAGGTCCAACATTGCCATGGACTGATGCCAGCAAGAAACAGGATCTTTTGGAGGAGGGAAAGTAACAGAAGCAGGAGAGAGTGGAAGAAGTGTGGAAAAACGAAGGTTAAGGCCTTCTGACAGAACTCGAAGTACCCAACAATCAGCTGCAAACTGACATGTAATGTCTGTAAATGAAAAAAATGGGTCCCTACTGTCTCTGAGCCAATTGGATAGTCACAACCAAGACTGATGGTCTATGAGCAGTGAAAGAACAGATGGAAACAGAGGAAAAGGAAGTGGGAACAGAGAAAGGAGAGAAAACATGAGAAAGGGAGATAGAAAGAGGTAAAGAAGAATCATGGGAGAGACAGGAAACCAGTGAGGATGAGGAAGAACACTGGCATGTAGCAACAATATGACTACTGAGAATCGGGCACTTCACTAAAATAACATCGTGGAAGAAAAAAGCCAGAGAAAGGTATTTGAGATAAAAATGAAGCAAAAGCATTTGGGTAAGAAGAGCATCTCTACCCAGTAAATTCTAGCAACAGGTCAACCAGATATGAAGCAATAAGAATGAAGAAGATAAACACACCACTGCAGAGTAGATAAATGAATGAGAATCTGCTAAAATCCCTACTGGGGAATGGTGGATTACAATGGAAAGGAAGTGAATGGAGAAAAAATAACATAAAAGAGAAAAGAGTGTAAAACAAATCTGGGGAAAGTTAAGTCAAAGATAGTCAAACAGAAGACAAGGAATCTGACCCCCCCCCAAGTCTGAAAAAAAGACCTCAGAGTTTGGGAGTCTAAGAAAGGTAATTCAGCTAGAACTCATGCCAAGGCATATGAGGGAGGTAAAAAGTAGGGAGGATAAGGCATACATGCACCAAAGTTGAGGTGAAGTTAATCCAATATGGACTTGAATATCTGAAGGGTAAGTAAACACATAAAAGGTAGAAGTAGAGAACGAATTACAATGTGAAGGAGAGAAAGAAAGAAAGTAACATACCTTAAAAACCCTGGTCCAAAACTATGAAAAAGACTTAGGTAGATAAAAGACAGCAAATTAGGGAAAGGTAGTTGGTGTGAAAAAACTGGCAAAATCCCTTCTGTCAAGAACGGGAAACATAACAGGAGGAATTTCAGGTACAGAAGATGGTGCAGGCCGAATGAAAGACTCCATTTCACAATGCACAATAGCTGTCATCTCCCCAATAGGTAAAGACAAATTAGATGCCATTTTAGTTAATTAGTCAATCACGAAAAACCATGTTGTCCCATACTAGACAAAGTGAAAGTTACTGACATGTGAATTAAGAATGTGGAAATAAAAGCCACAAAATCTGCTGATGCATAAAATGTTGGAAAACAAAAATCCAACATTTAATATTTCCATAATAAGTGTTTGTAGATAATTCCACAAAAAAAAAAGGCTTCTTTACACACGAGTGTCAAATTAAGAAGTGATGATTGAACAATCAGTATAGAGGCAGCCAGCTATGCTAGGAGGGTGTGTTGCACTCCTATTGGTGAAAGGTTGTAGTATATGCTCATATGCATGCAACAGTGCAGCAATATCACAAGAAAATGTGTGATGTTAGGTGGGAGTTTCAAGGCCAGTGACGAGTGAAAATTGTGCATATAGAGGGCAGCACTATTATGTGAGATGAGGTAAGGTATCATATCGGAACAATAAGTAAAACCATAAGATCAATTGAAAACAAAAACCAAACTTACAGTTACTATTTAAAAATGAATGGAACTTAAGAAGCATAGCCATTACCTTACAGCTAATATAATTCATTTTCTTTCTCTTTGAAAATTATACCTATAATTTAAAATAAAGATAACCCTTTCCAGACTGGAGAGGTGTCATTGATTTCTTCATTCTCACAGTGGAAATACTGAACCAAAGTGTAAAAAATTAAGAACAAACTTAATAAATAGTATCTAGTTTCAAATTTACAAAAATCATATAATTTCATTTAGTTTTTATCATTTTTATATCATTATATGTTTAAATCTTGTTGCTTGTCTTAGAATTTAAATGTTTTTATTGTTCATCAGAAAGACACATTTTATACATGCAGTCAATTTCTAGTTTATTAATTTTAATTAACGTATTTCTTTTGATACTCTATTTTGCTAATTGCAGTAGTCACCATTTCTGACAATAAACTGTATAATATACTACATAAACTGACATAGACTTACAAGAACAGGTTGGCATTAAAAGACCAACCCTGACAATATCACGTGCTGCATACTGGCTAAACCATTAGAATTTAAAATCAGTTTCTAAGAATGTATCAAATGCACTAGCTCATTGGGCAATTGACTGGTGTCCCAGTGGGTCAATCTGTCCCTGAAGTTTTGTTTGTTACTTAGAGCCTGACCTTTCAAAATGCCATCAGGTCAAGCCAGGTAACAATATTTTTGTTAATAATATTCTTGGCCAAGATCAGTTTATTAAGTTCTTTTATTTGTGTGCATCGTTTGAATATTATAAGGTAACATAGGAAAAATAACTTTTACCTTAATACTGCTAATACAATTTAAAATATTCTGCTTTGCATTATAGTTCTATCTTAAAGACAAAAGAAACATAACCTTTACCTTACTACTAACATGATTAAGTTCTCTTTTAAAATTATAGTTGCTAGCAAAAACAAAGGTAACTTGACAAATTTAACCTTTACCAGACTACTAATACAATTAACAAGATCATTTTTTACCATTATAGATGCTATCTAAACAAATAAAACTTAAGAAACATAACCTTTACCTCACTGATAATGCAATTAACAAGATATTTTTTACAATTATAGTTACTATCTAAATGAATTGAGCTTAATAAATGTAACCTTTACCTCACTGCTAATGCAAGTAACAAGATCGTTTTTTACCATTATAAATGCTATCTAAATAAAGAGAACTTAAGAAACATAACCTTTACCTCACAGCTAATGCAATTAAGATATTTTTTATAATTATAGTTGCTACCTAAAACAAAGGTAACTTGGCAAATTTAACCTTTACCAGACTACTAATACAATTAACAAGATCGTTTTTTACCATTATAGATGCTATCTAAACAAAGAGAACTTAAGAAACATAGCCTTTACTTCACTGCTAATGCAATTAACAAGATATTTTTTACAATTATAGTTGCTATCTAAAGAAATTGAGATTAATAAATGTAACCTTTACCTCACAGCTAATGCAATTAACAAGATATTTTTTACAATTATAGTTGCTATCTAAACAAAGTGTACTTAAGACACATAACCTTTACCTTACTGCTAATATGATTAACTATATCCTGCATGGATGAACAAGATTTCTGACTAGCCAGATGTAGCAAATGCTGCAACTCAGCTTCGACCTCTTCCTGAAGTTGGTCAATGCGTAAGATGGCCTCAGCAGCACAAGAGAGTCGATCAGGCCCCATAGCTTGTCCTGTGCTATCCTTACTATAGAAGAAAAATCAGAGAATATATTAGAGATGAGAATTTCATATCTCAAACAATACATATGGGACTCAAGTGACAAATATCGTAACACTATGACCATGCAGATCACTGTAGCTTCATTGAAGTCATGTGAAGAAAACAAACAACACGGTTGCTTTAAGTAGACATTTTGTATGAAAGCATTTTATCTGGAATGGAATTTCCCAAGAAAGCAAACAGGATATTGTTATTTTCAAAGAAAAATTTTAGTGAAGAATGGTGAACAGTCATTTGTAATAAATGATTTTCAATGTATGAACTTGATGCTGTATTAGTCTAAAGACAATATTATCAGATTTATAGACAATTTATGAGACATGAGGTAATAGTAAGTCAAACAAAAGACAAGAATTTAAAATGAAAACAAGAGGGAATCCTCAATAGCCATGTCACTTGAAATTCTTTTAGGCAGGATTAAATTATATTAATCTATGATAATTTTTCCCCTTTTATTAGCTATATTTTTGTGCACCAGCAGTACCAAGTGTGGGGGTGTACATATACCAAGTTATTACTCATCAGAATCTCTACCAGCCTACCCTCAAGTTGAAATTCTTTTAAGCAGGATTAGAGTAAATTAATCTGTGAGACCTTGAGTGTGGTCAAATAACATCAATCAAAAGGGTTTGACCTCCTGAGTCCAAAACTGTAATTAGATCTGAAATCAGTCAAGAGACGATAGAGCTAAAAGTTTGTACTTGAAAAACTCAGAGCTATTCTATGAGCCACTATGCTGCTGCTTAAAAGAGGATGACAGATGTAAATTGAATAACTTAAAACAGGAAGGGATACTAATATCTGAATTAGAGAATGGAATACATAAAAGTGAAAAGGACAGCTCAGGTAGCAGATAGATAGCCGAACTGATGATTGGCAAGTCAGACGCACTAAATATGGGCATATGAATCTAAAGTGTGATAAACCAAATGTTGGAAAGAGAATCAGAAGGAATAGATAAATATACTGTTGACCTACTTTATGGATGAATTAAAAGAAACATAGAAAAAGTACTGTAAAATTGTCAAACATACAGAAAGATGATTGGGCAATATGATGACTAGACATAAAAATGTATTCTCTTTACAACTAGTATTAGATATTTTTCTATTGGAACTCTAAGAGCCACAGACATTGCAGAGTTGCAAGTTCTTCTGCCTTGTAAACATCTAACATTGACTGCTAATAATTTTGCTTGAAAATTTTTAGAGACTATCTATAGAGACTGTAGCATTGTTTATAAATGTAAAAATTTTTAAGTTCAGTTCTGATTATATTTTACAACTGAGAAACAATAATCTTATATTTTTCAATCTGGCACCTTTATGTAAACACTTTACATATTATACCTTACAAAATGATAAGAATTCCTAAGCTGCATGAGCAATTTGAGCAGACCTCCTTGTTTAAAATGGTGTGGATAAGCAGTAAAGCTCCCATGGTTATGACATCCCTCACTGCAGCTGCAAGCAAAGAAACAATAATAATTATTACAAAATTTATATCTTTAACCAAAATGTTATTGTTTTAGTCACAAATTTATTAAAAAAACACATTTCTACATTTATTGTTTCATCCTTAACACTTCCCACTTCATCCTAGCCACTAAATGTTAAACACAAGATTAGCTCTGTAATCTTTCACTAGAACACTTCTGTTAACAGTAATGCACTTGATAAAATACCGGTTCTTTTGCCATCATCCCAGTGCTATTCCAACACTTTTTGTACTGGTCAACACAATTATGATATTATATCATTCCTACACTGGGTATACCACTTTTAAAGTATTATCTTGGCTTGCTAGTATTCAACTATAGCCCTGTAATAAAAGAAATATTTTGTCACCATAGGAATATTTTAGAAGTTTATCTAAAATAAAATGATCTTTTGAATTATCTGTTCAAATATATACTTATTATACACTTTACCCAACTTCTTTATTGATAATATCTAAAGCTGAAATTTACATTTTGTGGCTTATAAAGAAAATATATTACTCAAATCTAGTGGCATACTCAGCACTGTCCTGATGATAGGTAATATAAAATTATCTTCAAGAGAAAAAATACTTAAACTTTATTAAGTTTCATTAACAAAAGACAAGTTTGTAATTTTCATAGATTTTCTCTTAAACCTTGACCTACGTTAAACCTTTGAAACATTGTTAAATCAAATTGTAATAAATATAACAAGGCCCTAAAGTTTTCCATACAAATTAAACAAACGTTACCCCTTTCATAGTAGCTTTTACAAAAATATATATCATCAGTACAGTACATCCTTGACCTAATAATACTCTAATTAAAAAAACATCAAAATGTTAATGTTTCTTTTTACATGACCTAGAATTTTCCAGTTCAATTCTCCATTCTTTTTTAAGACAAATATGTCTATTAAACAGCTCTTTAATTTCAAACGAGTGTCCATTTTATACCCAAATTTAGAAACTAGATAGAAATAATCTTCAAGCCAAGATTAATAATCACAATGACCAACTATCTTTAAAAATATTGAACTTCAACTATTACATTCACAGACACACAAGACACATGATACTAGCTCATACTGTAAGAAATACACAAACAAACAACATCTTCACTGTAAAACTTACTATATCTGGTATTATCCTAGACAAAAAAACAAATTCAAATATCTTTGAAAAACGTGTTATGGAACACTATGTGATACTGTCTTTAGTGTCATAGAGGTTCAAGGTTTGTAAGACATGGTAAAAGAATATAATCTATACAGCAAGAAAAGAGAACAGCATAAAATTAACAAAGAAATATTAGAAACCACTCATCTGGATTTGGCCAATAGTCTCTTGGACCATGTTTCCTTGAAATCAGTTATACCTAATTCTTCTCAACATATATACATTTACATGAGAATTGCTTCAAAAATTAAACAGTGAACATGGGTTAACCTCGCACTGTTTATTAAGATCACTTGTCTGTACAGGACACATATAGGAGTCTCTGATCAACAGATTTAACTGCACAAAAACTTTTACAGTTTTCTTTTATTTGATGATGGTAATGTTAACTGCTAATCTTTCCACTTACAAACACATAAAAGGAATAACAAAACAAACAAGTGCTTACTTTTCCGGCTTGTGATATTTTGCACCCATAACCGCTGCAAATGCAGGTTGACCGGCACAAATTCCAGAGAATGCTTGTCTTTTTTGCTTGAGGGTTTAAACGACGGGCCTTGATGAGTAGAAAGCTTATCCAAGGCTTGAGTGTAAGTGTTGATGAGATGAAGGTGACGTTCCAATGCTACACTATGCTGAACCTGCCACTCCTTTCGAAGCTTTGAGATAAACAGAAATATTATGTATTTGAAAAAAAAGAAAAATGATTCTTTTTTTAAATACTTCACTTGAAATCAGTTTTCTTTTCAAATGGAGTTTTTTTCAATCATCCATGTTTTGGGGCTTACAATGTGAAATCATGTTTCCTTGATATCAGTTATACCTAATTATTCTCAACATATATATACATTTACATGAGAATTACTTCAAAAATTAAACATGGGACATGGGTTAACCTCACACTGTTTATTAAGATCACTTGTCTGTAAAGTGATGTAACTTTTCGAGATGTGATACACACAATGAAGCTACACTCTTTTGATGTTGCTTTTTAAACCCCTTCATAAGTATTTTTTTGCAAAGAAATTAGCTATTATGCATTTTTTTCAAGAATTATAGTTCACAGCAATTGATTTTGACCAATCACATAGCAGTTATAAAAAAATAAGGTATTACTTGTGACTAGCACAAGAAACCGAAATACTTCTGAGAATAATTTGATATTGTTCATTTAGTTTAAACAAACTAATGAGAAATATGTCTGTTCTTCATGCAGTGTTTTATACTATGTTTTCCCTTAACATTTGTTGCACTACAGATGATGTAACTCATGAAATGAAAATGTTCTTTACCTTTACCAACTAACACTTGTTTGATTAAATACTGGAGGAGTTAAGGAGTGCATGGTATAATAACACAATCTGCCAACTAATAAAATATAAAAGAACAAACGTGATTTGACTGTCACTCTTATACTGCACCCACAGCCCCAAAATGTGGATCATGATTTTTTTTTACAATAATGAGATGTGAGCCCCAGTACCTCAGGTATACAGTAAGGTATACTAACCACTGGGCTGCACTAGGACGTGTTCAGTCTCAATACACACAGTAATTATGTCTTTGTCTACCCACTGTTGCAATCAATGACAAAAAGTCATAATAACTGTCCAAATTTGCATTAACAACATTCCCATGATTTACAAAGTTAAATTAGTAGAAATAAAAGATACAATTTGTTTTTTCCTGGTTTTTATGAAAAACACAAAAATATTTTTTGCCTTGGCATAGCGGCTCATAGAATGGCTCTGAGTTTTTCTTCAAGTACAAACTTTTAGCTCATAGCTTCATCATCTCTTGACCTATTTCAGATCTAGTAACAGCTTTGAACTCAGGAGGTCAAAGCCTTTAGATTAATTTACTCTAATCCTGCCTAAAAGAATTTCAATTTGAGGGTAGTCAGGTAGTGATCCTGATGAGTAATAAAATTGAATCGGGTATTAGAACAACCCCACATTTGGTATTGCTGGTGCACAAAAATATAGCTAATATAAAGGAAAAAAAGGTCTCATTGATTAATTTACTCTAATCTTGCCTAAAAGAACTTCAAGTGCTGTGGCTATTGAGGATTCCCTCTTGTTACCTTTATAAAGTCATACTTTCAAAATTAAAAATAATGATCAACTGCAAGACATAAAATTCTTTCACAAGTTTTTTAACATGAAAACATAATCTGTTCAGTATATTCTTAAACTAATAATGCTCTAATTAAAAAAATATGAACTTATTCTGTATATTCTATAATACTTCAGTTCAGTTCTTTATTCTTTTTTCATCTTTATATCTTTGAAACAATTCTTTGATATGGAAAAAAAAATGACAATTTTATATTCAAATTCAGAAACTACAGAAACAGAAATAATAAATAATGTTCAGCTAAAAGCTGATATAAAAGAAAAACAATTTGAAAAACAAGTTTCTCCAAAATTCACAACCATCTGATTATACCATGTAAAAGGCAGTACAACATTATTTTGAAAGTTTACTTTATCCTAGCTATTAGACACTAAAAAATGGTTTCTATTGATGGTATAATACTTGTAACTAATTTAAAAGTTTTAAGTGTATCCACTAAATCTTAACCTCACCTCACCCAGTGCTTGGACATATTCCATCATTTTTCTTTCTTCTTGAATCCACAGATTTCTGGAAAAAATAACATCAGGTTCACATAAATTAAAGAAAACTGAAATAAGCAAGAGTTTATTATTCCTCTGATATTCATATTGTTAAGAACAAAAAACAAAGAACCTTAATCATAAGTATTACGTGTGAATTTACAAATGTGTTAAATCTTTTAATGAATAAATTGTCTAAACATATGAAAGCTATTTTTTGACACCAAACATTTTTATTTACTCATTTTGCTATGGTTTTGTTTACTGCTCATTTATTATTCCTTCTATTGCTTAGTTCAACTATGAATATTTAGTTATATTAAAGTGTTAACTCACCTTCCAGATAGAGCACATTGAATTTGAGTATATTTGTATTATGAAACTGACACAAGCTTCTCCTAGCAGTGACATATAGATGTTAATGTTGTGAAAGATTATGTAAATTAGTTATTCACGAGATATAGCCTTGTGGTCTAACAACTAAATAAAAACCCTTCCTTGATCTTAAACAAGTTAGTTCACAAGATATAGTTAGAACGAATTATTGCCGATTTGTTACTCAATATTGTTATTTATCTTGAAGTAGTTTAATTTTAAAATACTGTGCTCTTTCGGGAGTTAGTTTTTCTTCTTCTTATGGTTGTTTTTCCCATTTCTTTTTTTTATTGAAATTAATTACATTAATATTTTTGTTGTATTGTTTATTAACATTTGTATCAAATCTTGGCAAGACATGGATTTATAATTGTTTTTTTTATTATTTTGTAAGCAGTAAAATTTATATTCCAATTGCTTGAAAGTTTTATTATGGATTTCTGTTGTTGTTACAGTTTAATAAATTGTTTTTTGTTTGACCATGGTTGTAGTGGCATTTTGTTTTGGTCTGTTACAACTTAATCATAACTATTCTGTGTGAATTTACAAGTTTGCTAAATCTTTTAATGAATGACTTGTATAAACACATGAAGGCTATTTCTTAATATCAAACCTTTTTATTCATTCATTTTATTCTTTCTTTAGCATTACCATTTTAAATATATTTAAATTGCATTTTTCACTTAAGATGAGCCTACTATTGTATATGATACCCAACTATTATTGCAGCAAAAAATTTCAAAATATACATACAAGAAATAAATTCTGAGTACCAACAAAAATTACAAAAAAGAAGAAAAAATACAAAATCTTATAGCATGCAGGAGTATGTCTGAAACAATGGAGCCACAAAGTCATACCATTATTTACTGTTCAAAAAATAAAGCTCATGTCTGGTTCAAACAAAAGAGGAATTAGATAATTGTATATACAATTATTTCTTTCTTTATTTTTAATTATCTGCACTGTATGTCAATACAAAATTTTGCTTGTATGTAAAATCTTGCACAGGGCTATCTGTGCTAGCTATCTCTAATTTGGAATGGATAGACCAGAGGGAAGTCAGCTAGTCAAGACCACCATCTGCCAACTCTTGGGTTACCCTCTTACCAATAAATAGTGGGATTCACCATCACTTTTTAACACCTTCCACAACAGGATGGGACACTGAGCAATGTGTTTCAATCCTGTGACCCACAGATTGAGAGTTGAGCACCATAACCACCAGGCCCATGAATAAAAGTTGTGCATCAAAAAGTTGTATGGTCAACTGGAACCACCTTTGTTGTTACTTAACTTTAAACAAATATTACAAAGTGATAAAAATTCCATTGATGACAAGCCTTCTTTCAATATATCGAAAACTGCATTTTAGAGATTCCTTTTCATGTCTATACACACAATGTCAATTTCCTTGAATTAGTCTAGAGACAAGCAGATCTTTATATTCATGTTAACAGGAGTTAATGGGCCTAACTCCATAACATTTTGAAAATTCACATTTTTACTTCCTGTTTCTGGATTCATTCTTATATTAATAGCATTTTTAAAATACAGTAATTTATCTTAAATTTTTTCTCCATTTTTTTTATAATAAATTAAAATTCTTAATGATGAAAAATAACAATTTCAATCTCATACGTAATAGTAGAAGAACAACAAGACTTCAAAGTGTACCTTTTCTATTTCACTGGAATAACTTTACAGAGAACTTTCTTCACAATCTTTCTATTACAATAGATCATTTAAAACTCACAGTAGTAGTTGAGGTAGTGAGAAACAGAGCCTGCTTTCTGCCATGATCTCATGTACCCTTAATTCAGCTCCAAGACCAGTATGAAAACAGTATGTCTGAGAGGTGATGTTGTCAAAGAGTGTCTTCAATTGGGAATGGAGAGGAGTTGTGGCTCTAGCTGGCAGAGATGTGGGTAAGGAATACGTACGCTGCCGATCAGCCTGGATCAAGAGAAAACTATTACTGAGTTTCTTTTTCCTGTCATTTTCTAACGATACTTATATCTACAAATAATGAAAGATAGGCAAAGTTCAAATTCTTTGTTTTTATTACAATCACTTGTGAATTACAGTAACCTAACAAAATAAATAGATCAACAACAAGTAACACATTTGAACAAGTTAACAAAAGTTAGAAACAGCTTCAAAGTAGTTTGCTCAAAATATACATATATACAATAACATTCATTCCAGATTGGTAAAAAGTAGCTCTGATGGCTTTAGAAAATTAAAGGAATCATCAAACAATATTTCATCAAGTAGAAGAGCCAAACTTTAGTATTGTAGATTAAATCTAAATCAAATTTAAATCATGCTTTATAAAAAAGAACAGCCACAAAGCTATGATTAATACAATCATTAAGTTTTTGACTTTATTCGCAGAAAAAAAAACATTCATACAGATATTCTGTAATCTATGACCTTTTGTCTGATAACTTGATCAAACACACTGATCTAGAAAAAGAACAAACATTTAACTCGTTAATGTAGTGTTCTGTAATAAAAGCATTATCGTCCAGGACTTTGGAGGTTCATTTCACAACTATCTGAAATTATATGCATCTTGAAGCCAAACATTTACACTTTCTTCACAACAATAGTACAACAAAATTCTTCAAAAAACACTTTTTTATTTCATACTTTTATTTTAAACCCACTATAAAAACTATTTGTTTTATACAAACATAAAACATGGTTTATATAAAAAATATTTTTTTAAAGAAAAACAATAATTTCTTATGTCACAGTTACTTTATTAATTTCTCCACTGTCTTGAATTAAACAACTAAATGACATGCATTAACCCAGAAATTCATAAAAACAACTCACAAGTGGCCAAATAGGTTCTTTGTCTGAAGGTACTGACATGAGACTGTTACTATCATTCACAGACACATCAGGTTCGAGCTCCCTTGCAGATACAGTAATGAATCCTACACTTTCACAACATGGAGAACTGGAAGATAAAATATGACCTGTGTCACTTTTCACATTAAAATTTACATCAAAATTAATTCTCAACTACATTAAACAAGATGTTTTTTCTAAATACAATCTTAACCAATTTTACACATTTTGTTGTATAAAACAAGTGGGAAAAAACATGTCAAAATGTTCAAGAATCCTATTTGATTAAAATGGAAATTCACAAAAAGCTTTAATTTACACAATAATAATTTTTTGATCATGAATAATCTGGCTTTCAGAAATTACACCTCAATAGCAAACATCTATCTATTCTAATAATACACAGTATTTGTCTATTCTGAAAATGTATATCCATCTGACTGTTTAAATGTGCACTTTATTTCAATGGATGTAAATGTACTTTAGTGGATATTTTGTACAACAACACATAAAAAGCTTATCAAAAGTTTTAAAAATGTCTAATATTAAGGCTGTAGAATAATGGCATAAGTTTATTTATGGATAGTATTAAGTAAAGTAAAATTTAGCTCTAACTAAACTAAAACAAAAAAATTCGAGAGTTACAGTGTTAATTTATCTCTTTATTGAATATAAGCCATACTAAATAAAGGCTTAACTAATGCCTAAGACAAGTGGACTTATAGATTTTGGTGTCTACAGTTAGAATTCATTTGTATAATTCTAGGAATCCTGTACTTAAAGAAGTACTGTTGCAGTAAAGATACTAATTTGACTGCAAATGTTTTGTGGGTGTCTGCTAGTTTGTGAATAAACTAGGCATACTGTTCCTCAAGTCAAATACTGCAATTTAAATATCTATGGGAAAAAAAAAAGAATTTTGTAGTTTAAATTGTCAGTTAACCACATGCACAAATGTAGGGGTCAAAGTGTGCTAGCCAAGACCTTTTACAAAGTGCCATTCAACATAGTATTATGTATGAAACTTTGTAGAATGGACGGCAACTGCCTGTTGTAGAAACATGTGTAGAGGACAACATTTTGAAAGTCTTCCGCCTTTCATCTTCAGGTCCTCTACACTTGTGTCTCTATAACAGGCAGTTGCCATCCATTCTACAATGTTTCATCGTGAATACTCTGCCTAAACAATCTATCAAAGAATAGTATTATGTATTTGATGCCAGTTATCTACTATTCATTTTACCCTAAAATGCTGACTGAACAACAGTTCATGGCAGAGGAGAGTAAATACCAGTTATAATATACAGGAATATTGAAAAAAAAAACAACAACTGGAGATTAGCATTTAAGAGTTTCTAGTGGTCATGCAAATGAAATATGCAAGCTGTATGCTAGAAAAAAATATTTTTATTCTTCAAAGGAACATCATCATGCACTCCAACTTGTCAGAGTCTGAGTCAGGTTGACTTCATCAATTCACAGCCATATCTTGAGTACAAATACCTTTGTAACTCAACTAATTTTTGTGTACAACAGACTTGTACATTTTACTAAAAACTTGCCATATTTCAGAATTATATCAAATATTCCTTTTCCAATACAAAAGTTGGTCCAATGGGCCAAGCCTGTGCATAATCAGATAATTTTGGTTCCTACCATAAAACGTTTCCATGTTTCAAACAAAATATTAAGAGTGTCTGTTCTGTCACATAAAATGCACTTACACCAAAAATTTGAAAGAAGTTATGAGTAGTGAGATTAAACATAGGTATATGATTAACAGTATAAGCATTTATGAAGCATTGTTCATATGAAGAAGTCTGAATAAGTGTAGAGAACTTAATAATTTTTCCTGGTTCATAACACCAGTGGAATTGAGAACTTACAACAAAAAAAACTAAGATCCCTGTTAGAGATAACATTGATAATCATAAATAATCAGCATTTATTTAAGAAATATGAGGTCATTGCAAAGTTAAATCTTTATCCATGTTAAGTGTTAGTATGGTTTAAAAAAAGTAATTTATTAACAAGTGCTAGTGAGTTAACCCTTTGGCTCAGCTAACAGAACACTCACTTAAGAGTGTGGGAGGTCCCAAGTACAAATTCTGCTTGAAGAAGATAAAAATATTTAAATTGCTACAAGTAAAACTGGCACTCAACTAGCGGTTGTCCCCAAACTTCAGATAAGTCCCAAAGACGGGCCTTACTTGTGAAAGGAAAAGAAAATGGTAGCTGAAAAAAAAGTACCTTACTAGCATGTCTACTTAACCTATCTGGACTGGTTAGCACCTTTAGGTATCAATTCCACAACTGCATATCAAATTTCAAAACATTAGTAAAAATATAATTCTAACTTTATTTAAACAATTTTAACACAGAAATATATTTAAATTGACAATTTGTCATAATGTAAAATTTATTTAGTGAAATTTCTAGAGAAAAATGAAAAATGTTCCAAATTTTCATTTCTTTTAGAATATTTCTGGCCATTCTAAAGTAGGTTCATTTGCTAAGAAACTTTCATTCCTTGCAAACATAATGATATATGTCTCTTCTTTATTACTTGATTTTTCCTTCCATGTTAGTGGTTTTACTAATACAGCTCTTTGTTGCCACTCTTTTATTATTTAACACAATGTGGTCTGAACAGTTAATAATGAAGCTCAGCTTTGAAAATAGTCAGAGCCAACAACTAAGCATAAGTAGATATAAGGGATTATAATGGATGTAATTCAAAGTAGAATAAATAAAATGGTTTGAACTGTAACTTATAGTTTCTTGAGATATTGGGTACTCAGAGTTGCTGTAGGGGTAAACAATTCTAAGGAAACTTTCTAGCACAGGTCTGAGAAATTATTTCTTAGGCACTCTTTTCATTCTTGAAATTTTTCATGTTACATTATATCTGTTTGAAAGACATAGAAATTTTCTTCTTTGGAAAGACATCAGGAAAGCTTAGTTAGGTTCAGCAAGTATAGTAAGTACATGTACCTGCTGAATATTACACAAATAAATAAAATAACTTATTATCTGATAACAAACTATATTTATTGTATATTAATTGATCTTAAGTTCCTCCCCAACTAAAAATGTTGTTAAAAAAATCATGATACTTAGGCCTGACAAAAATAACAATGATGCCATTTTGAAAGATGAGGTCACTGATATAGTTTTGTAACTTTGTAAAGTGGTAACTACTTCAATCAACAAAATAAAGTATCAAAAGAAATATGTCAATGAATATCAATCACAATGAAACTGACTGGATATATAAAACAAAATTTTGTGATCAACAATAAAAAAAAGTATAATCCTAAGATGAAGTAATTTTTTCATGGTTTTTCAGTATAGTATCTCAAAACAAAATTTTCAAATTACACAATCTATTAAATTACAGAAATACTAAATTAAACAATGAAATTTTAAAGCAGAAACTAGGTTCAATTTAGTAAGTTTGTATTAAGTTTCATGCAATTTTATTAAATATTTCTGCTGTATGAAAGAAAAATATCAGGAGATATCAGTGACACCCCCTTCCAGTCAGGAAAGGGTTAAGTGTATGTAAAAGTGTATGGACAATTTGCAGTTTATCATCATCTTGCTGGTGATGTAATACTTTAAAATTGGTACAGAACAGTTTTTCAAAGTATACTGATACCCCCAAAAAATGCACTAAGCACACAGATGCTTATAAAGTATAGTTCCATCACAACAACACATCCAGCCACATAGCCAGTCAACATGCCAGTTCCTCCACAAGATGCAAGTAGAAAAGGAAATTTGTGTTATACCATTTGATGACATCTCCCATGAAATTTTTATATCCTTGCTCAAACATGTCTTTAAAGTCATGCTCCATACAGCTGATGAAATTTGGAGTTGAGGACTACATGACAGCATCTACAAGCACTGACCCCTTACGTAGAGATTCGCTGTCTCACATATCCAAGTGGTACCAAATATTTATTCCCCATTGGGAAGTTTGGAATATAGTGGTGATGAATTATCTTGTTGGTGGTTGTATAGCACCCATCCACCCATGACTGTCACTTTTTAGACAATTCCCTGATTGGTTAGTGTTTGTGAGTTCATTATGAAGCTGGAATGTCTCAGTTGAAAAGGTCAGTGGTTTGATGATGGAATGGAGTCTTTAAAATGCAAGGCCCAAGTGAATAATTTGGCTTGTAAGCACTTTTAGTGTTTTGTAATGCTGTTGATGCTTGTGAGATGTAATAGAGCTTTGATGGAAGTCACTGAAGTATATCTTGTGACCAGTCTTAAACAACTGTTTGTATCTTTTCAATGTTATCTAACTGTGTAGCATTCATATTAATCATCGGCAGTGCATATTTCAAGATGAAGCTGATAAAACTTAAAAGAGTATAATGATGTTCTTCAGTTTTTTTTCTGCTTCAACTTTCAGAGCTCTAATCCCTTTTGTAGCTCTGGTTATCACAGTGTTAATGTGGCTGATGAAGTTGAGTTGTCTGTGAAAGGTTTCCCCTATGTACTCCAGTGTTTCTTCCTTCCAAAATGATAACAATTGATTGTACAGAACATGGCTGTGGCCAAATTGATGGCCATTTGTGTGTCATTGCTTAACCTTCTAAGAGTTGGTTAGATCTTGTTTTTGATTTCAACTTTGCTAAAGCCTCTGCTGTACACCAGAATGTCATCAGCAAAGGTTAGTACATGGCATTTCATTGGACCATCAAAACAGGCTAGATGCATGAAGTAGATGTTAAAGAGGATTGGAATAAGTAGAGATTTTTCAGGCAGACTAGTGTTGATGGAGATCCAATCTGATTGACAGTTTCCATGCTTAATGATGCAACTTCTAGTAGTTAGTGCAGCTACAATCTATTTTACATGTTACACTGATGCCTCCTTTCAGCAATATATAAGAATATGAAGCTGGCCTTTTATGTAGACATCTCCCAGATCTAAAGATCCTACCAAGGTGTTCTGATCACTTCAAATCCTTTCCATGTAACAGATGCAAATTCAGCAACAATGATTCAGGTTTATCTTTTCCACTGCAATAGCCACCTAATAACAACAATAGTAATGGTTCAGTCTGACAGGTAAACCTTCTAGCTATAGGCTTTTCTGAGATTTCTCAACGATGTTTTGTGGGATGATGATTCAATTACCTTTAAGATGCGAGTGGTCCTTCATGGGTTTGGGGAAGGATTTGAAAAAGGCATCAGTCTATATCCCAGATATGCTACCTATTGACTAGCTACAGTGATATCCAAACAATAATGTCTGTGAGCTTTTTAAAGGTGGAGTTTCTTACACCATTCAAACAAGGAGTTCCATCTTTAGATGTATTTATGGCTCTATGTATTTTACCCTAACTAAAGGTAGCTTTCTTATTTGCATGAGTCTCTCCTGTATGTAATCATGATCATATTGGTTAATGTATCTGTGCATGAAAGCTTTACCTCGGTCTTCATCTGTACATAGGGGTAACATTATCATCATAAATGACTGATAACAATATATTTTTGGTTCGTGTGCCAGCCATAAGCTGGTGGAAGCATCAGAATGAAGTGCTTGTGAGATTGGCATTGATACATAGTTAATTTCTTTTTCATGTCATGTGCTTTGGAAACTGACTGTCTGTAAGGACCACAGGCTCTATTCTGTGTAATTTTTGCCTTCTCTGTCTGGGCTGGGTCATGCATTATCAGTATCATTATTCCACAAGTATTGGGCATTTCTTCTGCAGAAATTGTTGATCTGAATTTGCTTGATGGTGGAGAGGTGCTTGAGGATAGGAGCACTGCCACAAAGCTTGATATCCTTGCAAATATTTCTAGATTGTTTTATACCACCCTTTCTTCCAGTCTTCATATGCCTCTCACACAAGGTGATTATGGCAGACATTATGTTTCCTAAGCCAAGTAGAGAAGACACTCAAGATGGAGTTAGCAAAATAAAGTTCTATACAGGAGTTTCTGTCATCATGGCATTCAGCAATTCTTATTTATTCACCAGAGATTAGAAGCATAGGGTTGATGGCTATACTGTCAAGAGAAGAATGTAAACCTGTGCTTTTTGTATTTTTACCTGCATTTCTGGTGGGATGTTTGATAATGAAATCTCAGAGGTACATAGGGTTGTTCTCAGACAGGTCAGGCAAGAACCTCTAATCTTCAGCATCATATCTTGTATTACCTTCTGTTTACACACTGGTGATTCAAATTTATGTAGGTAACTTCAAGTGAGCTATTTGGATGGATTCTAGTTTGCAATTGTGATTGTTCCACTGCGAGATGACATAACAATCATATCAGATGCTGTTGCCATGTTACATACTGTTAAAATCATGGTAATGATCTATGAAGCTTAATATCCTTTAGGACCTTCTTTAAAAATCCAGACTGTATAGTAGAAAGCATGTAAAAATAAAGGGAAACAACAATGACTTCAGTGTATTGTGCTAAAACCTCTTGCACTGGAAATTAAAATATGACTGGTTTTAAAAGAAAGGAATGTAAGAGTAAGGCACTCATCTACGAAGCATTAGCATAGATTATGAATACCCCCTTGTACATTCCTGGTTGTAGGAAACAAGAGAGAATCCTCAACAGCCATGGCACTTGAAATTTCTTTTAGGCAGGATTAGAGTAAGTTAATGTATGAGTGTACACTGACTAAAAAGCTAAGTAAAAAAAAAAATTTACTCTAATCCTGCCAAAAGGAATTTTGATTTGAGGGTAGGCTGGTAGAGATCCTGATGAGTAATAAAATTGAATTGGGTATAGGAGCACCCCACACTTGGTATTGCTGGTGCACAAAAATATAGCTAATAAAAAGAAAAAAAGGTACCTCGACCTAAGCTATGTCCTACTCCAGGCCTTTTGTATCACCTTTGATGATGCCAGTATCATCAGTCATCCTTGACAGACTACCCCAAAATAAATTAGTGTATTTACAGACCACTATAAACCTGGAGTTTCAATCAATCTCATGAAAACAAGAATCCTACAATGAGGATGAGTTTTTCTCTAGCCCTCAAACCATACTGACCTCACATTTCTGTGCAGCCCCTGGAATTCCCTGCCCCATGTGACCTGCTCAACCCCCAAAAGTAAATCACACCTCTATACTGTTTTTCTCTGAAGTGTCAACCTCTCCATTACTCGAGAAGAAATTGAGCATGTTCTTGAACAATCCTCCAAGACAAAGCTTCACACAGTACACTAGACACACTCCCATTTAACTGGTTTAACCAGTCATTTTATAAAAATCAGCACACCTAACAAACCAACAGTGGACCAAATCCTGAACCACGGATGTTACTTCAACTATTTCCACTGAAAAACTCCACAGATTCAGATGACATCTAGCCTTCTCATTCACAGTCTCTTCAAACACTCAACATGTCCTCACCCACCTAACTGAAGTGCCATCACACATCATGTTACCCACAACCAACCAATCCACCCGAGATTCCTCAACCAATGATCAAGACAATCAGACAGACTACCTGGATGCCAAAAAAGTATCTACATCAACAGACTTCATCAGTTTGACCACCTAGTCTACTCAGGTCAAGCCAATTACAAGAAGAAAATTAACACAAACCCAACCACTACCTCATCCACCCTCTAGCTTTCCATCTGCCGATTGTTTGCTTTTGACCCGACGACTTCAATCTATTCGACCCACCTTACACTGTACACAGCGAAGATGAAGATTATGACCGTGAATTTCCAAGTTTAAAATCCTCCTGAACATAGCTACCTCCTGAAAGACTAACCTTCGCCTCTTCAACCACACACTTCCTTCTACGTCTTGTATCATTCAGGCACGGACTGGGCTTGGGAGACCTTGGGAGTGGTCAAATACACCAATCAAAAGGGTATTGGTCAAGAGATGACGGAGCTACGAGCTAAATGTTTGTACTTGAAAAAAACTCAGAACCTTTCTGTGAGCCACTATGCTGTGGTTAAAAAAACTAGTTTTTCTTCATTAAACTTAATAACATCACTACTGAACTCAATAGATGCCAAAGGCCTTATGCCAAAATGGATTATACACACAAAAAATTCAGTCAGTAAGATAATCGTATTGCTTTCATTTGTGTATAATGTATACATTTTGTTTTTATTTTACTACTGCTCAAATAACCTTATTTATTTTTTGAATTTACTTAGGTAGTTTAAAATTTTATATTATTATAAATTTAATGCTAAGTATCTAATAAAAATCCACTTACATTAAAGTAAGCCTCAGGAATCTGCACGGGGTCTGAAGAAGAGTACTTATAGTGAAAACAGATTCTCCAAGCAATGTTCTCTGTGGAAGAAATATAAACACTTTTTATATGTTTAAGTGCAAAGCTACACAATAGGATATCTGTGCTCTGTCCACCACAAGGATCAAACCTTGAATTTCAGCACTATAATCCCTCAAACTTACTGGTAGGTAATATTTGATCAAGTCAGAAAGGATAGGAATTAAACTAGATATAAAACTTTCCAGTCAACAAAAGGTGGATATAGAGTTCTAGAAGTTCCTTTTCCAATGTAAAGCCACATCACACACCTACTGTATTGATTCAGTAAAACCTATTTGTTCTATTAAATTCTGGCCATTTGGGTTAGCTAATAACAGCTTTTTTAAAATATAAGTATCCAAATATTCACAAAAAAAAAAAGACAAAAAATGACAGCAGAAAAAATCTTATTTAATACAAGCAAATTTACTTTTGACACATTGTAATGGTGTTCTAAAAATTGTTTTTAAACTTAACACCAGTCAATTTCTAATACATCATATCTGGATACCAATATTAATTTCACATATTTTTAATAAAACAATTTTTTCAATCAAATTATATTTACAAAAATAATTTTGGTAACACCCACATAAGTTAAAATGGGTAAAAATATATATTTTTTAATTTGTTCAGCAAAGGGAGTTTTAGCCAAAAACCAAGGTAGATAGCTGTAAAAAGAGAAATTAACATTTCGGTGAAGAAAAAAAAAAAAACAAAATAATAATAATTAGTCCGCTAAATAATAATGAATAATTAACTGTGATGGTATATAACATATTATCTAAACACCTACAGTATTTTAACTTATTAGTGCTTACATTCCATCACTATATTAGGCCTACTTTATTTAATTGCTCCATTCTTCCATGAACCACTGATGAGAGTGAATTCAGTGCCATTAGTCTGTTGCAGCAGGAGTAGCAAATCAAACAATAAATTATGCCTCTGAAACATTTTTTTTACAGCAATTCAGGTTTTGTTGAAGAAATTAAAAAATAAATAAATTGTTACTTATAGTAAACAAAAGTACTACAACAAATAAAATGTTGCAAAACAAAATCTAATTTAAGCTAGATACTTTAAACAAATACGGAAATAAAATCATTATGGACTTGGAAATTAAAGATACTTACCATGGTATAAAAATTATGCAGTTGCTTTTTGGTAGAAAAAAATATAATCAGGTAACATTTAAAGTATTCATAAAACATATTTTTTCAAAATAAAAAAGTGTGTATAGATCTGTATTCTCCCACAGAGCATTTTCCAAGAGCTTTTAGTGCTATGTATACATTACTATTAACCTATAGGGTAGGGATTTAGCAAAAAAACTCCTCAAGTTGTTCATTAGAAAATGTAGTTGGACATTTCGACTACACAAAACAGAACCCTTATAAACATATATGTATTCTCCTTAAAGATTTGTATATTTTGTTCTAACATTCTGTGTCACAGTATTTTAGATAAGTGCACTGTGTGTCTATCATACAATCTAATAAAGGGTGTAAGAACAATGTTAAATGTATTATACAGTATCAGAAAGGAGACTCCATGCCACAGTTACATCAATAATGCTTAACCAACAAAAAACAATTGAAAAACATTAATTGATCTCACCGTCGCAGTCACCTTTTCTTTGACATCAAACACTAAAACCTTCACTCTCATGGCAAGAGAAACTTCTCTCTTTAGAAATCCTACAGTTGTCAGAAAACATGGGTTGCTTGATCTCTTAAAATCATAAAAAGATAAATGTTATTGATGGAATCACTTATACAATTAAAATTTATTGGCTACTATATGTATTATTAAGAAATTTGGATCATATTTAAGTGGATTCAAGTGTAATATTATATTTTACTTAATTAATGGTAATGATTTGTCTAAACAAATGCCACAATGATTATATTCATTCTAAGATGAAATTAACCTTCTATCTCAGACCTTAAATCAACAAGTGCATCACTATACCTATGTAGATTTTACCAATAAAGCAACAGTTTGTTGAAAATTAGGAATAATTCAAACTATGATAGCACTGACAGTTTCTGTAGCATGAGGCATAAAAGCAACATTTCTAATTATCTTTTCACATCTTTAAAATGTTAATAAAATAACTGAACATCATAATATAAATACAATATTCTTTGCTCTATTTTAATTCAATTTAACAATCTTTGTGTTTGTGTGTATTCAATCATGAAAATTATATAAATATAGGTTTTTCAATTTTTGAAATATTGAAAAATACAAATATATTGAAATTAAATTTTACAGTCTGAAATAATAAAATACTTTGTAATGTTAATATTTCATCAAGAAATTTAAAAATGTAATTCATGGCTTTTCATACAAGTAAAAACTTTTAACAGACAGGAATTTGGAAGGTAAACAGTGATATTTATCTTTAAAATTTAGAATAAGGTACACTACACTTTAAATGTATGGGTTTATTTAAGTCTCATTTTCAAAGTTTATGTAATTTCCAAGTTTAATTATGCAAATATCACATGAAAGTCATGAAGTTTAAAAAATTATTTAAAATAAAGAAACTTGGGAATATTTCATACTGAAAATGTTAAGAAAACCCAAACATAACTCTTGCTGCTGTCATACCTCAATCATTTCAGTCTGAGCAAACTGTACCCAAGAAGACTGAACGGTGCGACATGTATAAACTAGCACCATAGGGTTGGGGGGCTGTCCATCAGCATCACACTTCAAATTGTCACACACTATAGAAGAAACAATGAAAATAGGTGTTATATTTTTTTAATTGAAACTTATAAACAAGGATACTTATGATGCATTCCATACATAATTCATCATTAGCATGATAGGTTAGAGATTAAAACTTCACACACAGTTATCAAATGATTTATTCATATCAATGTTACACATGCATTTTTACTTGAAATTGCGAATACACCATATTAACATCCTACATGTTTATAGTAATGTATGATTTAAGTATTGTAGTTTCAGTTGATAAAAAGTGCCCTACTAACAACTAGTATTGGGTTAATCTTTTAGCTCAATTGGTAGAGCACTTACCTGGTGCAAGAGAGGTCTTGGGTTTGATACTGTGTCCGACTTAGATTACTAAATATGAAAACGAATTGTTTTAACAATTATTATAATAATATGAAACAACTTGCTAGAGTAAATATCTGTACTTAAACAGAAAGAATACTGACCTGTAAGTTCTTTACTAAATGTGCAAATCAAGCATGTTACAAATATTTCAACATTTGAACCAGCAGCACTATACTTTCCTTGTACCATATTTCTACTAAAGGAGAAATATATTCAACCTACCTAAACTAAGTTCCAGAAAGGGCTCATGCTGCAGTGGATCATAACGACCTAGATCGGTGAAAAGGGAAGCCATTCTTTATTCATTAATATTACAAAGTCTTTAGTAAATATTAATAAAAAAAATTAATATCAAGTGAAAAGAATACATCCACAGATATTATGGAATATTAAGAACATTCTGTACTTTTGCTATTAAAAATACATCTGGATTTACTATACATTCTACAACTGCCTTATTAACTGACACTTTTACAAGTGCTACAAAGAAATTTGGGCCAGTGGATTTAAGTGGAATATTCTATTCTATTCATATGATCCATTAAAGAATATTTTTGTTCTATGTTAATGATTTGTTTAAAAAATGCCAAAATTATTATATTCACAATAAGATGAAATTCACTTTTCTATCTTAGATCTTTAATCTAATAGTACATCACTACTGCATGCATGACAGATTGTTAAGGAGAAATAATGCAATGCAACACAGACTTTTTGCCTCTTTGCTTATACATTTTTGTTAGTTTCCCAAGTTATAAATATAAATTATTGTTATGAGAGAGTGTTTGAAAATTAAAAGTGTATGAAAAATTACTTTATATTTTATGTAGAAAAAAACAAAAAAACAATGTTGTAAAATTCAAATAATATAAATGTAAAAAAGCTTTCCACTAGCTCTCTAACAGAAGGTAAGTCTGTGAAAATGCAAGAAGTATCAGTAGATCATACATGTGAACCCACAACGTCAACCTGTCTGTAATGGAATTTTGAAAAACAAAATTCATGAAGAAATGGTCATACAATGTATTGTAGGAGAGATGGAGATATAATCACCCATTAATTGGCTGAGAGATTGGTTTTCTTCAAAAGAATACACTCTCAGTTTCTGTACATCTAGCTTCCCTTTCTTAAGATGCAACTTGTTCTTTAGAGAATGGACCTGTGACTTCATACATTCAAAGCTGGCTGAACGCAGGATATTCATCCAAGTCTCTCGCTCCATCTCAGTAGCTGTCCCAAGCTGCTGACCACCATGATCATCACCCACATATTCTACCACATAAATAAATTCATTTACAGGTGTGTGTGAAAATCTCCTGTGGTTAATATCTTTTTTATTAGTTAGATTTGAAATATTCAATAGTTCAGAAATTTGCAAATAAAGCAAAACAATTACCAGTAGTTCTCACAATCACAATAAATTTATATTTTAGTTAATTTGTTACATCGAGTTATTTTACCAAACCTAAAAAAACAGCTAATCTCATTAAAATATGATTTAAGAAATAAATTAAAGACTAAAAAGAATTTGACATGTGGAAATTAACAAAAAACTAAAAATTTAACTTGGCTACTACCACTTAACATAAACTATTAAAAGCCAAGAAGTTAAAAGAGACTCCAGGCCCGAGAACTGAACCCAGGACCTCTGGATGACAAAACAAGTGCTCTACCGAATGAATTATCCAAGAGTACAAACCATCCCAATCATTGTTCACCTATAAGGCTTTTCACTATGAGTATATCACTATACTACATTATGAAAAGACAATTAGTGGGGTGATTTACCATCACCTACCAAATTATACAGTCTATTACACACATTTTTCTTAAATGTCCTTGGGGAGGAATTTTTAATATAAACTTTTATAGATATATATATAACTGGCCTTGTTAGGCAGAGATCCTAGGTTAAAGTCTTGTTTTCAGAGTGTCTCTTTTCACTTATCTCCTTTTTTATGTACTTGCATTTTCAAATCTTTAATTTACAATGCATATCTAAAATCATTATCTCCATTTCAACATGTCAAGAAAAAGAAAAATCTGAAATAGTTTCCTTTTACAAATCCAAGAGTGTTTGCATAAGAACCTAAAACCATCACAACACAAAACAGACAAAATACTGAAAAGCTTAACTTTAATACTACTTTAAATCTGGAGCTACATGTAAGCTTAAATATATTTTATGAATTTATAACACACTAATAAATAACTATTAAAATACAGCTGAAGCAGTATACATTTAACTACCTAGAGTGAATGGAAAGATGTTTTCTGTTTCTGGATCAGCTTTCACTGAACAGTGTTCAATAACTAATAACCCCACTGGTTCTGAGTACTGAAACAAGAAAGAAAACACATAAAAACTAAGTTGACTGTGATTTCAAAGTAGTGTATTATAACAACAAAAACATCCTCATTTCATGTATGAAATTCTTGAACAATATTCAACTAGTTGTTAAGTTGTTGTATATACCAAACAAGTATTAAAAACAAATTTTATGTTTCAATGTACACAATTTCCAGCACAAAAATGTCACAAATTAATTTAAACTATATTTAATTGAAAAATCTTGATATCAAATTTGGAACTGAAACATTGAAAGATAGGGAAAAAATACAATTTAGGATATTTTTTGAGCTACTATATTTACACAGGACACACTAATGTATGGTAAATATATCTTGGTAAATTATTGTTTGGTGTATCAGTGAATATATATATATATATATATATACATAACTAAGTTATGTTGTCATGCTGAATTGTCTTCATTTACTGAATGTGCATAGGGTTGCTTCATTGGACCAACCTCATATTGAAGAAGGAATGTTGATTATATTTCTGAAATTACTATGTGTATCCACAAGATATATATGGCAAGCTTTTAGAAAATGTACAAGTATGTTATGCACAAAAAATCAGAAGTGTTTCATAAGCATTTGCAGTTGAGATGTCTCTGTGAACTGATGACATCAATCTGACTTGGACTCTAACAATTAGGATTGAAAGGTGGTATTCATGTGAAGAATAAAAATACTTTTGTCTATCACACAGTGTTCATATTGCATTTCCACAACCCTTATAACCTCCAAAATGCCTATCTACAGTTTATCTCAGTATCCTTGTCTAATGTATCTGGTATTCACTCCTATACCATGAACTGTCACTAAAGCAGCAATATGGGATAAAACACTGACATCAAATATATAACATTAAATGGCACTCTATAAAAGGTCATGGCACAAACACTTTAACCCCCAACCATGTACATAAGGTTAATGTACATGCTACTTTAAATTATTTTAATTATGATCTATATATAATAAGCTTACTTTCAAATGGTAAGTTCAAAAATCGTAAATTACTTCATATATACATGAAATCATGTGCTGTGCCAATCATTTGGGCTGATCCTCATTATTAGTGTGATAATGTGATTACTAAGTGTATGTTAAGGTGAACAAGCTTCATTTTGTGTAAGTGAAATTAATATTACTTTTCATTAATTTATTAAATGTAATTGTTTTAATTACACCATGCAATATTAAATACAATTAGGAACAATTTAAGATATTAATTAATTTATAAATTTGTTTATGTAATTACTCAGCAAAATTATGGGTCAGAGGATATACTTAGAACCAGTATAAACAGTACTGATACTGAATGTTATTATTTTCCTATACTGAAAATACATTTCCGACAGGTACTTACCTCCACTCAAATGTATAGACATTCTTGTTCAGTGTTGCCCTCTATATGCATTTTTTTTGCATGCCACAAGCCTTGAACTCCCACGTACATGGTTTAACTGCATCTCGCATGTATATCATCATATCATCATGCGACAACCAATAGGAGTGCGACACACTCTCCAGATGCATGTGACTCCCTCTATTCCATTCTACTGAACTATCACTTTGAGATTAGGCAGAAAAAAATAGCACAATTTTTCAGTGGGGAGGAAGGATGGGAAGTATGAGAGGAGGTACGGATCTATCGGAAATATATTTTCAGTATAAGAAAATAATAACTTCTGATATGGTGCTTTACCTATTCTCACATGTATTGCTAGAATACTAAATTGAAGAGGCGGAATGACCAGTGTGAGGGACAGAAAATAAGTATCCTTCAAATGTGTCTGAAGAACACCCGTGAAGTGTGATCCCCATTGGAAGACTGCACCACTTCTGTAAGAGGTATACTCTGTGCCCAATGTGGAAATAGATGTCACATACACAGGCAAAAAGGGAGAGACAACTGGTTGGTTCGGAATCTGAATCACAGCATATGGAAACTTCAACCTCATTGAAGCAACACTGTAAAAAACCATCTACAGACAGGAACGTGGAGAAAACTAAAATGGAAGTGCTCCAAGGTGTAGAGTGACTAGGGCACATCGGACCGTATGCAGCTGGTCAACTCCATTCCAAAACCAAGCAGTATCGGGAATAGAGCCTTTGACCCGTGGTAGGAGGAGGATCCACACTGTCTTCACCTCATGTTAAGTAGAATGGAAGGATATACTGTGCAAACCAATCTTCAAAATGGGCACGTGCACAAATCCACAACCAACCACACATCTGGGAACCCAACATCCAGATAATGGTAGGAAGAGATGTGCCCTTGTGGCAGGTCACATCGAATTTAAACTCCATCAGAGTGGCACTCCACTATGAACACCAGCTTCAGACAGTGAAAACACCCTCAGATGGAGTGCAAGATGAAGAACCGTCACCCCAATCAACATCAACCTCTTGATAGGACTGCACAGAAGCCAGAGTGCAATGTCACCTTCTGGGTTCCACTGCACAGAAGTGGATTGTCTTTAGAAATATATAGCATCCTCACCCTCAGATAGAACCACACAGAAGCTGGGCACAACATCAATCTCCAGGAACAACCACACAGAGGTGGAGATCTAGAGGAAAATTGAGTGAGGAAGAGATAATATAACCAACACGTGTGAGGATTTATATTGATTGGTCCAGCTGTAATCCAAAACCACTCATTTGGAACCGACATCCAGATGATGGTAAGATGAAAGATCCCAATCTAAGGGGGTGAACTACAATGTGACAGATCTACTAAAAAAAAACATCATCCTCCAAATAGCACTGCCCAAAGTCTGAAGCACAGTAGCAACCTCCGGGTCCCACTGTGCGGAAGTGGATTGCGTCTATAAAATATTAGCAACCTCACTCTCTGGATAGAACCACACAAAAGCTATGTGCAACATAACCTCTGGGACCCACCACATGGAGGTGAAGTGTATTTATTTAGGGACATGTGCAACATCATCTCCATGTTAGGACCACATAGAAGTTGGAGCACAAGGTCATCCTCCAGGTCCAACTGCATGGAAGTGGACCACATCTAGACGATATAAGCAATGTCACCCTTCTGATAGAACTGCACAAAATCTCGGTGTAACATCAACCTCCAGAACCCACTGCACAGAAGTGGAGTGTATTTATATGGAGACATGTGCAACATCATCCCCAGGATAGGACCACACAGAAGATGGAGCACAATGTTACCCTCCAGGTCGCAATGCATGGAAGTGGACCTTGTCTACAAAATATAAGCAACCTCACCCTTTGGATAGAACCGCACAGAAACTGGGTGTAACATAACCTCTGAAACCCACCGCATGGAGGTGGAGCACGCCATCTATACCAGCAAAACACCACCACCCTACTCTCTACTGAATGAAAGTAAACACATTTATCAAGGTCCACCACTCCAGCAGCTTGGAACTGGAAATTGGCAAGGACTACCATACTCCATTAAAAGAACATAGGGGGATCGATTGCAGTGGAGAGTCTGGAGGAATGCCAATGCTGGATACAGTGCAATGGGTGACCACAAAAACCCTATACTGAAAGGTAGACTGCCCCTGATTTATTCAACTGAAGAGGCAGTGAGGATGGGCACTATCCCCTTCTGCTTTACTCATGTAAATCCATTGGGTAGTATGGTCCAGAATGGGCATATTAATGAAGCAAATATATCACAAGGAAAAACCTACTAGCGATCTTGTTAAACACCCCTTCTCAACAGTGTGTCATGTGTATATTGTGTTTTATTATTTCAGCTTGGCCGTACATAGAAGTCTATCTGGAGCAGACCTGGAATAAAGGTGGGAAAGGGATGTAAGAGAAAATGGTGAGAAGTAAGAATGACCCTCACGAGCAGCCAAAGGTTTGAGGAGGGAAAATAGATCTGGAAGAACCACACAATGAGGAGGTCAAAAAATCTGGGCCAGTTCTGACTGAGAAAATCCATTGCCAGGGTCTGAGGATGACGAACTGGAGACCATTTTGGCCCTATCTCATAAAAGAACTATTTCATGGGTATCATCATTACCTATTTCAGATCATTGTGAAAGTTTCAAATTGATTAGAATCCCAGCAGTGAAGCTAGCATAAATCTTGAACAGTTTCATGATATTATAATAAATATAAAATACATGTAAGTCACAATAACATCCTAATCTAGCAGTGTTTAAGATATTCAAATGTTTCTTTGTAAACCAGAAATCTAATCAAAGTACACTCATTATGATATAAAAAATGGCAAACAATACAAGTTCCATATTTCATTTTCATATCTAAATTATAATCATTATATTTCCAAGTTCTGGTTATCAATAAATAAAAATAATCCAAAACAACTGTAATTTTACAACTCCACAATTGCCCAAATGTGTTTTATGATTCTATTTATAACTGTGAGAGCCAATAAAGATTTAAAGGCATGTCTATAGATGGGAAGAAAAAAATACAATTCTTACCGGATCTTTACTTTTGCAATAAAAGAGAAGATTCCCTCGTAAACGAAACCAGCGTTCTGTAAAAACTATAAAAGATAGCTCATTAGGTATAAAAAGACTATTGCAACAACACTTAACATGTAATATTCAAAGTAGAAAACTCGAATCACCAAAAATGATTTCATTTAGAACAATTAATAAAACTGAATAATATTTCATACCATCTCCTCGACGAAATATGCCTTCCTGTTTTTCCCGAATAAAAAGCACTCCCTCTTTATCAAACTTGTATGAAGGCTGGGAGGCAACAGCTAAGAGTTCTTTTGCATTTAATCGCATCTGACCAAGGAATAGCTTTTTTCACACCATATCATGGATTTATTGTGGCTACAATTAAAATAAATACATGTAAGACACCAATAGAAATATCTCATGAAATGTTTTATAGTAGTGAATGTACCTAATAACAGTTATGCTATGACTTGAACACCATTTAATTAAGAATATCTTTGAACAAATATTTTGGTCTGAAACAATACTGTAATAGACAGAAAATGTTTTATAACTATTAACACTCACCTATTAAATACAAGCATCAAACAATCACAAATGTATAAAAGGTGCATGCACATCTATAATGTGGATTTCTTTTTTTTACCAGTAACCCACCCATGTCATGTTACCAGTTATTTATGAAGTCTTCTGATTTTGGATATAGGCATACAGGTGAATGCTCTCTTATCTCAACTGTCACAAAGTTTTTGACAAAGGTCAGGGCTGGCTCAAGGCAGGCACAAAGGGCTCAAAGAGCCCACTGCAAACTTTAAGGGGCACAAAAATTGTAAAAATGTAAAAAAATACTAACAAACAAAGAGAAAAGGGATACTTGTGGTGAAAGTTTGTGTTAATATCACATTGAACACCAGAAAATTCAACTTCAAATAAGGTCTTATCTTATATATGTGAAAACCAAATCAAAGAAATTTTTCCAAACACCTTTGTTGCTCTAAGAATGTTATAAACTCTACCCATTAGTGTGGCAAGTGCTGAAAGATTGTTTCCAGACTAAAGTTGATAAAAATATTTTTGCATTCCACAATGAGACAAGAGATCATATGGCTAATAATAATTTCTGTAGAAAATGAAATGACCAGATAAATTAATATGGACAAATTAAGGAAAATTCCATTTTCTTAAGACTAATTTTTGTTTTTTAAAATGTATTTTTCTATCATGTACCATTTTTTGTACTCTGTATTCTGAATTTTAAAAAATTATTTAAAATTTTGTAAAATACAGAAAAATAAAAAATACATAAAATTTGAAAAAAGACAATTTTTTATTTTTGCACCCGTCGATTTTGAACTTAACCCAACACTGACTAAGGTCAGAGGCATTGGAACCAGGGGTGCTACAGCACTCCCACTTTTACATATCTAACTTGTATAGCAACTGTAAATTATATTCTTATAATAATTTTCTGGGGAGGCATGTCCCCAGATCTTCCTAGATGGAGCTGCCTTTGACAGCAAGGGAACTGCTTTTAGCAGCTCCTTATACTTTTAATCTCTCATTATAAAATCTGCATGTCTAGCCAAGCACCCCCACTTTGCAACTCCATCCTAAACCACTGAAGGTACAACATAAATGGTTAATAACAAAGTTTAAATGTACATAAAAGAATTGCCTTTAGAGTAGGAAACAAAAATCAGTAATGATCAAATACACAAACATTTTTTGTTAGAAATGGATGCTTCTCATGCTGTTGTAGCTAGCTACTGCAATACTGTACTTTTATACCTCAAAAAATAATACAAAGCTAAGTATCATTATTTCTGCTTTCTTATTCACAATTTTGTGAATTCAAAGACAAGTGTAATTCATAAATATTGGCTAACTTTTAGTTTATTGGGGTTCTTGTATATTTTGGATATACTTAAAAGTACCTACAACCCATGTATATAAAAAAAAACATTTCATCCTACATCCTTTATTTCTGAGGTTATCCATAATTATAGGACTATCAGTCTTAAGGTAAAAAAATCTATATAATTTCATAGTGTGTTGAATAGTACAGGAGTGATTTTCATGCATGTTAAAAAAAAGGACAACATTTACCAGCACCACAGAGTGATTTTTAAACAGGGTTCTTCATAACGTGGAACTCATAGTATTTCATGCACAAAAATCTTAAGAAACATATCCACTAATGCACTGAAATTTTGGTCTACACTCATGAAAAAAACTGCATTAATATATGTATTTTGACACTGTTACTGACTTTAGAGAAACTGCCAATGTTAAGCACACTTACATTTTGAGGCGTGTGTTAGGTACATGTACAACATAAACATTACAACTTGGTTTGACCCATGTTAACAATAGCTAAGCTCATGGATGTCATGTTTCCTGTCCATGCAGAGACATCAGTCATGCAACTGTTGATAAAATTAGAGAAAGAGGGTGCTATTGAACTGAAATGCATGTACACAGGTGATCTGTCAAGTAGGTAATCATGTCTGATAAGTCCAGCCTTCATACCTATAAAGTTTACAACCAAAAGAAATACACCTTTAATCAGCTTATCAAGCAGCTTGTTTGTGAGGCAGTTGATAATTAATCACGAGCTATTACTTGTTACCCTTTGAAAGTGAACAATAATAGTGTCAGACTAAAGGGTCCAAACCTAAACTTGTAATTATTACATAATGATCACTCATACTTGTTTCAAATATTACAGAGCTCAGAATCTGTTACCCATGGGTATTTCACCCCAGCTCTGAATTCTTTGAAGAACCCTGTTCAAAAATAAATAGTTTTTTTCAGTCATGCACAAGATGCACTATTAAGCTTGGTGATATCCTAATGTTAAAATAAGCATGTTCAAAATTAATGTAGAACTTATAGCAATTTTTGGTGAACCTCAATAATTGTTTTTATGTTTGGGGAGTACACTGAAAAAAAAAATATAATCTAAAGAATAATATAAATATATCTACAGTTTTATATTCTATAAGCACTATAAATTCAGGAGGTAAGAGTATTTTTAATTACAAAAAAAGTAGACTGGGTAAAAATTCAAATGTTGTAAACTGCAAAAACGATAGAGTATCCTACACAGACAAAAATAATACACAAAACAACAGAAACAGCTGAGACTTTCAACAGTGTCTAACTGTGATGAACAGACAGACTAGTGCAAAGTGAGCACTAGGATATACCTTGAAATATTCTGAGTATAAGAGAATGAAGATTAATAATACTTTTTTCAACACTTAAATGAAACTCATTAGGCATATATCATCAGGTCTAGTCATCATAGAAAGACACTTAAGCAAACTGTGCAGAGATCTGCCACTGATTTATTGCATGGAACAAACTGGAGTGAAAACTTCTTGAAAACACAGACATAGCCTTTAGGCTTTATATGATTTTTCCTTGTTTGTACAAACTGAGTTTGATATCTGATAGCTTCTTCTATTTGAGAAACAAGAGAGTAACTTCATGAAAACATTAGGACTTTTTATTGATACTTTCAATAGATAAACTATTTGCTTTCTTAACTTATAAAAGATATGATCCATTGTAAGGCATGAATTTAATAAAGTGGCTTATTTAAATCTTTAAAATCTAATTCTTTGCTGGCTTGGGGTGTCACTCTTATTTAAAATTTACTTGTGACATACATATTCTTTTGTTGTACTCAAATCAAGAATAAATGTAATTGAAACACTCATCTACACAGAAGTTTAATTTTCTTTTGCAATACAAATATAATTTAATAGAATAAGCATTTTATAGTGATTATATAATACAGCTAATTATGATAGTTCAGGAAAATACCTTTCTTTAGAGTGCAAAGCAAAATGTATGGACTAGCCAATTATATTAAAAGTTAACATAGAGTGTTTTAAGATATATTTCACCATCAAAAAACTATACTGTTTTTGAGAACAACAGTGTCATGACAAAACTTTATGCTCCACTTATGGTTGACTTTTTCTTAAAATTCAACTTTGCCTTGTTAACTAAAATCTGCCTAACCAATTGAGAACAAGTACTCTGTATTCGATGACGAGGAACCCACTTTGAGACTAATGATATGTTAAACTTATATTAAAGTTTTTCTTCATTACCCATTTAAGCCGTCTCCAGCCATTATAAGTACTCTGTATATTAAATGGATTATGACAAGTGATTAAAGAAGACCTCAATATCACTGTATTGTTAAATTTAATTTAAAAGGTATGGACTGTTTCAATTCATTCAACTTTTATGACATTAACTAGATGCCATAACAATCAACTGTTTAAATATCAGGCCAAACTACGGCCAAAGTCATCAAATTTTTAAAATATAGTGATAAGCATTTATAATGTCTGTTCATATTTTGTGGTAAATTATACCAATGTTGTTTCCCTATATATATAAAATAACTAAAAACTTCAATATACTTTAAAATATTCAGCACATTTCTTCATAAAATTTATGTTCAAATAATTCCAAGTTATTAAATAAAGCACAAAGTTAGAAATGTATATAAGAACAAAGGAAAAGGCTGTTTAGCTTTGACATCTTTCATCCAAGACTAATTTACTTCTATGTTATTTTTATCTATACCTCTTCAATGAAACAAAAATTATTCAAACAATCTGCATATATATCAAGTCATTCAACATGCTTATACCTATAATAAAAACAACACCTTAAATCTATTACTCTTGCCATATATCGTTTATTTAGTTTTATTTCCAACATTTTCATTCTACGAGATAAACTATAGGAAGACTGTCTAAACCACTAACAGTTTTGAGCACTGAATCAAGTTTTATTACTTTTCTGTTCTTCTTTCTGTAGCAAGGATACTTGTAAGCTTCAGTGAGGTCACAACTACACCTCATTTTCTCAAGAAAATATAAGTTAATAGTATGGTTATGTAAGAAAAACAAGAGTAAATTGTTATATAACTTACTCAGAACCAAATATATTTTAAGTTTCAATATATTATTTTAAAGTTTGAAGAATGCTAGTTGTGATACTAGTATTAGCAAATGATAAATGACAGTTTGAATTATCATACTCATTCATTCCTAATACTAATAGTAATACTATAGTACTGTATAGTCTCTAGCTGTTGATATTAGTTTATTAGCAATAATCTAAGAGCAGTACTACTAGTAATAGTATGATTCATTATTGGTAGTGATAGTACTACCACTTCACTATCATTACCATCAATGAATCATAATACTAATACTATTTTAAGCATTAATTAACTAACTTAGCATCCTTAACTTACCTGATACCGATAGAACAGAATAATACGTAATTATAATATATTACCATACTATAGTTGGCTCACTTAAGTTTCAGTATCATGTTTAGGCTTCTGTACATTGGAATGTTGAAGTTACTGTGAATTGTTTAAAATTTTAATCTGTAACTTAAAAGTTACAAAATATAAATTAAAAGTTAAGTTGTTAAATTAATTGCAGTTGACAACTCTACACAGTTACACTTACAACTTGTAAAGGAAGGGTTGAAGTCCATAAAAAATTAAAGAACACTGCTACTTGGAAAATGTAACAAAAATAAGTTTGAAAATACGTAAATATACATATATATATATATACAACAAAGTAAATAATTACTTTTTACAACACGTAAAACTAGGCTTACACCGGTTTTAACTTTTAACTTAAGATCCTTTTGCCTTGTCAACAATAACAGTGCCCTCTAATGTCAATTTATTCTTTGTATAAAACGAAATATTGTAATAGATTGATTTTAAATATCTGATATCATAAATCCTGCAGATTCACAAAATTCACACTTATAATATTTTTAAACATGCTGTAAATTCAGATATAGTACGTTTAGAATTAAATGTTACCTTATCTATTTTAAGCATTTATATTTCAAAAATCATATTCCGAGTTTATAGTTTTCGTAATATAGCTTTACTGTCACAGCGTTTGTTTATTTAGAATTTTCATGCATAGCTATTCTAATTTTGAACTAGAGGAAGACAACTAGTCAACAACACCCACCACGAAACCTTGGAATTACACTCTTCTGGTATGTCTACGAACTTACAACGATAGAAACCTGGTTTCAATACATGTGGTGGGCAGAGCACAGATAGCCCATTGTGTAGCTTTGTGCTTAATTACTAACAAACACTCTTCTGCCGAATAATTGGATTTGTCGTTATTATTGTAGTGTACTTACAGCCCTAATGTTCTGAGTCCTTTTTTTTTTTTTTTTTTTT